TTTTCGATTAAAATAATTTTTACATTTTTTTACCCCTTGGATTTTTACCAAGAGCTCCAGCTCGTGGTAAATTTTATAACAAGGTGATGAAGCGTGATTTTTGTTTTAATCAAAAATTGATTCAAAATGTTTTTAATATCAAAATTTATGATGAAAAAGCAGCGAATTTATGCAACAAGTTGAAGTTTCAACATGCAACAAGTTGAAGATGCAAAAAATTATTTGCATCAGTAAACTTAGAAAAACAACAATTATTCCACTGCAAACGATTCCCATTTGGAGTTTGAAACTTCGCAACTAACAGCGACATCTAACGAAAATCCGTTACAACACTCCATTCGCCATATTGGAAAGTGACAAGTGTGTTGTTGTTTCAAATTTCAAGTGGAAATCGTTTGCAGTGAAATAATTGTAGTTTTCCTAAGTTTTATTGATGCAAATAAAATATTTTTTATAAACTGTGTGTTGGCAAATTGAATTTACAACTTTATTCTACCTTTTTTTATTATAAAATATTTGTGGATTATTTTGTATTGAAAAAAGTCAGATTCATAACGGTTCGGTTTGAACCGCTGAAAGCACTGGGAACTTTTTTTTTGGTTCAATATCATCCGACTGAAACGATACCTAGCGGATATGCTAGCCCTTTAAATTGTACGCCAAAATTGTCCATGGTATTTCGCATGGATGTTGGGTTTGGGTAAAAACTCAGAAAACCAAATTTTCTCCGCAGGGTCTAGTTCTGGAGACCCTGTATGGGTCCACAAATCGAAAGTACCTTAAGCCTTTTCGTGCTTTTTGACAGATGTACTAAATTGAATGTTTTCTGTGTCGCCATCTGGTTGGTGATACTAACATCTTCTCGCACGGTTCTGATGAAGATTTTATTTATTGTTTATACAATTTTATACAAAATCACTTTTTCATTCATAATTTAGAAAAGAAAATCACAGTTATTTCGAGAGTCGAGTTATTTTGCATGCAAAATGCCTAAAACATAAGAGTGAAAAAATTGTAATCATCAAGTTTGCCCGGCACGACAAATTTCAAGTGTTGGAACTTTGTTTTAAAAGAAGCCGAATATTATCTGAAAAAAAAACACTAATACAAAATAATAAATGGCAAATCATTCTTTTGTCTCTTTTTGGACATAAATTCCTACATTTTCGATAAAAAGTGAATTTTTTCACACAACTCATAATTTCACAATCACGTGTTTAGTACATTTCATTGTTCAATACCGACAATGAACACACCCTTCTAACGTCAGCAATGGTATCTGTCAAACTTTACGCTCTGAAAATGACATCCATAGCAAACATTCAAAAACAGTCAATATTTTATTTTTCTAATTCTAATTTGGGAAAACTAACATAACATTCACTTTCGAAATCATACCATTTGAAAATTATCCTGCCGTTTGTTACATACGAATGTGCAACGATCAGTTGTATCGTCTCGACACGAAAATTTTCAAATATTTGAGTTCGTTTTTCTCAGAGCGTGTTTTGGGCTGATGTCAGCAGCACTAACTAACGTCAGCTGCTGATATCAGTTGCTGACGAGTATGCATTGCGTTATTTTAACGCATTTGCAGTACAAAATTCGTATTCCTTTCTGGGTGCCAAGTCAAGTTTTATTTCAAATTTGACTATAATTTGAGATAGAATCGATTTTTAAAAGTGATGACCATTTTTTTTAGCTCTTCACCTTTGAAATTACCCATACTCGATTCCAAAATTACCCCCCAAAAAAAAATTGGGATTTGAAATAACACCCTTCTGGACGATCAACCTTCAGAAGCTCTGATGTAGGTGTCATTTTGTAGTGATCAAAACAATGAAACTACTTGTCGTATCTGGACAAAATATAGCTCAAAATGAAGATAAAACTTCAAATTTTTGGAATATTGTTGATTTAATGGGATAAAATAAGATTTTAGCGATAATATGGGCATTTCAATTTGGGGTCAATTTGAACCCCATTTACAGCAAACGTAAGCTTTCACTTTAAGTTAGAATATCTCGGTTTAATGTGGACCAATTTTGACGAATAATAAAGCTCTTAAATGCGTTTTTCAACTAGATTTAAGACGTTAGAAAGTTATAACATCATATAACTTGTAATTGAAAATTTATAGCAAAGAACGGGTTTCGCTGTCGATTTTGATTTCAATGTTGTTGTGATTTGACACTATTCGTTACATGTAACAACACATTGACTTAATTCTAGTAGTGATTTCGTCATGCGTCATTTACAATATCACCTCATCCTTGTGTGTGGTGAAAAGTGGAGTATATTTACTTTTTGCATTTCACATTTGTGCCATATAATTCAAATTAATTTCAAGGGAAAAAATGTGATGATTCTTCTTCCGATTTTAAAAATTGCGCAAATACAGAATATAAGTATCCAACACATATGTTTCCAACACAAAATCCATCCAGGGGTTTTTGATAATTTAGTGGGGATTTTCATTTTATCGACCTAGGCCGTTTGTATGATACAGGGGATTTTTCAGAGTTGATTTCTTCAGTTTCTGACCAATAACTCATACAATATTGATGACATTATCTTGCTGCCTTAAGCAAAGTCGTAGATAAGGATTCAATAATCACATTTTATGGACAAACTATGCAAAAAAATCACATTTGGTTGGAGCTATGGGGCAAAGTATCCAAAAAACGGGTACATTGTTAAGTTTTTCGAACATAACTCGCCCCGTATACATTTTTTTACTTTCTGTCTTCAGCAAAATTTCCATAAAAAAAACTAACCATAAAGAGATGTTGCCTTGAACATATCAATTCGAAAAAATCATATCTTGTCCACTTTTAGAGGTGTCAACGGACACGGACATAAACTAATGTTCAAGTACTTGACGTGCTCGTCCGGTCAAAAATCGGAAAAAATGTTCGGACGCTCGGCCCCGAAGGTTGGCACTGATGCGGTCTGTACTAGTGGCGGCATCAAAACTACGCGCACGTCACTCGTTGTGACTCCTGTCACGTAGTACTTTAGGCAATGTGCTATTCTTGCGTTGACAACTCCTAAAAAACACACGAATAAACGGAAGGCAAAATGATTGCACGCTTGTGGATAAATGAAAGCCATAGTTTTATTTTTTTTTTCTTTCAAAAATCAAATTTTAGATTTTCAAAAACTTTTCTACACGATTCATTCCAGTTCTACACTTTCAAACATAGCAAATTTTCTTTCCAATACTGACTTTTCTATACATTCTAACATTACAAATTTGTTGGCATATTTTTTGTGTAGAAAGTTGAGGCGAATCGAATCACTAGTGATATCTCACACCAGCCAACACCATATATCAAAAAAATATTTATCGTAGATCTGTTATGTTATTCTGCAAATTTCTTTACAAGTGACTCATAATTTTTGTTCACATACAAACGCAAAAGTGAAAAAACGCCGGATTCGCGTTTTTTGGAGGTCAAAAATTGGAACAAAAGGGATTTTTTGGGAGGCCAAAACTCCCCAGCCCGACATCCCCGTTAGAATGCCTTAAAAATTTCCAGATATTCAGTGCTTCATTGGTGCTAATTAGTGCCGCTAATTTTAGAATTGGTGCTTTACGTGAGAGGTCGGAATAAAGAATTATCCCAAAAGAGGCGCCGCATGTCAATAACAACAAATCAGACTCTATACAACACATATAGAGAAGAATCCCCAGTCTTCCTACAGTTGCGACCGATGTGTATTGTGGCCGAATGCTATCGCATCGCCGCTATTGCGAATGTATATTTGTCAACAACATACCGTTAGGTTTTGGTTCTCAATTATAAGAATTCAAATATTTTACACTCGCACACACAAAGCAACACGCTCAAAACATGTAAACACCGATACGGTGTCTGTATGAAATATTGCGTTTCATTTTTCTGAATTATTTGTGTTGGTGCGTCGTACGAAAATTGTTAGATGCTACAATATGACTTGTTGCCTTTTTCACACGACCGTCAGCAGTGAGCATCACTGTGAGCAATGGCAATACAAATAAATAACTATTCATTTCAATACGTATTGGCTTCACTCAAGCATCGGTAATAGCGTATTACGCACGCACATTAAATTGCGAATGAGAAAATCGATCATATTGCACTATCATTTATCTTCTGTATTACGCATCACTATAGATGATACAGAGAGCGACAGATGCCGAAAGATATAATGTATGCGGACACTGCATTGGTGTTTGTGTATTTCTGTGTGGGGAACAACGTAAAATCTGTGTAGTTGTTGACGTTTACTAAAATGAAACACAAATCGGGCACTATAGCGATACCTGACAAGATTATTTCCATTGGGTAAAAATGAGTCGATTTTTAGGTGATGTTTTTTGTGAATTTTGGGGGTTATGGGATGAAAAAAACATATTTGACAGGGGACATTCAAATCGAAAACTAACAATGCCAATATTTAGTGCTCAATTGGTGCCAGCGAAATGGACTTGTCTCTGGTTTTTTTTCTAGGGATGGAAAAATGCAACCCCAAAAGTACAGATAATTAGTGCTTAGTTGGTGCTCACGATTGATATTCATATATCACCTATTTTTTCTTCTCATCGTTTCATGTTATGGGCATTTGTTTTTTCGGCGGGTGGAAATACTAAAGATCCTCACTACATACAGCGAAACTTTAAGTTGACTCCGCACCAATTCTCAACATGATTTTTTTATATTTAACCCTCTAGTGCATGCAACCGCTTTTAGACGGGCAACATTTGAACGTCTGTATAACGTAAACCATACGTCGGATCACTTTGCTTCAAGAGGCTTTTAATAAGGCATATAAACAAGAATGTGCACAAAAACAAAAATGTGACAAAAAATTAACAATTTTTCTCTGATTTATGAGGAATCCAGGATTATGAATATTTTTTCAATTATCTATAGCCAAAAATCAACCAAGTACTAGTACTCCCAGCCCTGGGAAAAATTATGCACAAGAGAGTTAATTTATTTTTATTTTTACAGTTACGAAATATCATCGCGCAGGAAACAATCGGACCGGTCAAAGCGCTCACATCACAGAAGGAGTCCAACAACTTCACGCCATGGACATCGACGCCACAGAGAAGATAGAGAAGAGCGGACAAACAGCACCTCACGAAGACGACATCGTGATCGTGTGGCTAAAGACCGGAGTCCTGTTAAGGTAAAAAAACACTTTATTTTTATTTTTAAATACATTGAATGTTCAAAACATATATTACGTCATCCTACAAGATCAATTTGAACAAATTAAAACAAGAAAATTTTCTTTGGAGCAAGTCGAATTAATATTATGATATCAAGGCAATTGTAGAATTTTGTTTTGTTGTCAACTACCGGTACATCACGCCCATATTATAATACGATAGAAACTTTTCGCACTCTTTTTGATCAAAACTGATAAAAAATGGTTTCTAGTGTGCTGAATTTTTTACTTCTCCGACTCCGAGTTGGCTTAAAGACCCAGCTGTGAAATATAGACTACACCGTATTGCAAAATGCTGGTAATTTTTTCTGACAATTTTCCCTCTTGCATTTGTGTCAATTCATTTGGAATATTACAGCTGACAATTATAGACACGAGTGATGAAAGGACCCTGGCTAATTCACTGATTCAATGAAACGTGGCAAAAAAATTATTGTAACGACAATAATTCACTGGAATTGTGGCGTGGTTTAAATTTGCAAAAAATTGACAAGAGAATCCTCTGAAACCTCGTGCTGAAAATTCATTTTGACTATATTTAAACGCGTATTAAATATTTCAAGACATAATACTCGTATGAAATCTTGTTTGGAAAAGCGAACCGATTTTAAAAAGTTCTCTTATTAATGATGCCAAAATGATATACTTGTATCGCATTGGTTCTATTAAATACAAATTATCATGAAATATAAGTCACATTTAGTTATCCTCTTCTCGGCCAAATGCAAAAAAATGTTCTTAGACTCTTTCTGATCTATAAAATATAAATCATATGTACGATGTTGATATGTGCTATTTTCCACACCATTTGTATGTATTTTTCTGCTTGTATTACATGTATTATACACAAGAACATTTTGTTTATGCATATATGTATTTAATCTTACGCACTCAATCTAATCCCACAAAGGAATCGAACACATATGAGTTGGGAAAATTCTGAAAGTAGGTCTGAATTTGTAGTTTTGATATATTGCTCAACATACATTTTTAAATCGACTTTTTCCTTTGACTTTACTTGCAATTTTTATGTTTCCACAAAATGCAAAGTCAACGATGTACCCAATAAATGAATAAATTTCTGTAGTATATATACGCTGATCAACGTTTTCATTGTATTTATCTTTCGCTTCCGAAAACTCAGTTTATGAACAACATGCCAAGATTATTTTAGTGTGGATGTTTTTCCTTTACCGTTGGTAGAAAAACGAATTTCTCGCACTCGTTGGTGTTCGTTTCTGTTCTATTTGTGAAACCGTATGTGTTTCATTCATTTAATCGTCGGGACTGCTGACAGTTTACAGCACTGCCAACTTTTAGCATCGTACTCCGAAAATAAAAATATAGTTGAATTTCCATTCACTCTTCAAATATATCAGAAAACTGGTATTGTTTCAATAATATTATCACGAAAAAAGGAAAAGTATATGTTAGGTATTTTTGTCTATATATTACTGAAAATACACAAACTGTTTGAAACTTTGAAAACGTTTTCTTATGTTTTGTGAATATTTTTGTGAGTATCTAGAGTAAAGTGAATGTGAATCGTCATATTCATCATTTACAGTTTTTCATTTTGTATAATGTTGTTTGAGGAATATTTCGATGAGTCAAGTGATCAAAAATTAGTATTCTTAAATGGTCTTCAAGTGAAAATCACAACAATGGAAAAACAGGGATAAGTTCTCTAATTTCTAAGGGAAATGAAAAATGAACAGTTGAAATCTACGTGATAATAGTATTCAATTTTTTTCTCTAAATTTCAAAATTAATTTTAAAGTTTTTTATTTATGGGAACAACTAAATTAGGATATTATGTGTGACCCGATGCCTCATATTATTCCAACTCACTAACATTTGAGTTAGAAGACATTTTTCGTGTCTATTTATGCAAATTAATCAGTGTATTTGTGAATGCTGTTGTATGCAATTTACTGCTATCTGAATATCAATACGAAGAAAATTCTTTCATAGTTAAAATGGTTGAGAAGGTACGAAATTGTTTCTACATTGTTCTACATTGAACGTAAATGACGATGGCTACCGAATACTACATTACTAGTCGAACAAAATTGCTTCATTCAAATTCGATATATCCTTCATCACCATATTTTATTCAATTAGTTGTTGCTTTGTCGGCCGTACGTTAAGATCGATCAGTTTTCTAAATGTCATTCAATAATTTGTGAGGATAGAAATATTTGCACAGTGTCTTTTTACTTTTTACTTGTCCATTGCTAGAATTTTGTTGGATCGTGACATTTTCATAGATGTTCTGTTACAATGTTTAACTGTTAAATGACAGTAAAGAGTGCTACAAAACGGTGATAGTGTTGGTTTTGTAAATTAATGAAATAGCATTGCCATAGTTTATCTAGACTTTTCCTACATAGTTTTGTTTGTGAATGATGTCTACGTCTACTGAGTTTGAAGCAATTGCTGATAGTTGTGCACCGCGTAACGCTCTATTTTGTTGTCGATCGCCGATCTGTTTGAATAACAGTCCACAATTGGTGCCAGTTAAAAATACTCCAATGGATTCACAACATCAAAATGATTCAACAATTTACCCAGTGCGTGTCCCTGACTTATCGGATGCTGGACTGTACACCGATTTGATAACACAACCGAGAAAATATTGCGACGTAAACGGGAAAAGTAAACAAAATGCTATAACTGACATGTCAGAAGGTTCACAGCCAAATAAGATGCATCAAATAAATAAGTCCCAATCGGCCCAAGATATTCGACATTATGGGGTTAGCCTACGTCGTGTAACACCTCCGAAATGTACAGTCTCAGTGAAAAAAAATGATAATCCGATGATGAATGTTGTCTTACGCAAGGTATTTTATATTGAACATTTATGTGTATTGAAACTTTTCAATTCCGACTAAAATTTATTCAAAACAAAAATTGCATATAAATAAAACAGATTTGAGAAGTTTCATCCATGCATAATTGCAGGTTGAAAAAAAGCTTCTTGAACCACCAAAGCCAACTACACATGAAAAGAGTCCGCCTCCCAAAAAACTTACTTCAGCAACTACTAACGCTGGTGTCACTATTCTCAAATCTAAAAAAACTCGAATTGCTTCGAATAACCAAAACTTAATCGCAAAATCGAAATCTACAAATGACGTAACGAAGAAAACAGAAGCCGATTTAAAAAAAACCCTAGCATTGGCAAAGCCACCGCTACAACAGCCACCACCACCACCATCATCAACCGTTAACTTACTAAAAACACAAAGACCTCCACTTGAAATTCATAAAATTGAAGGCGATAAAATTATTATTATTAGACGCGTCCCTCGAGCACACCGTCTAGCTGCAGACTGTGACCTAAAGCTCAAAAGCTTGCCTTCACTCTCCGCGGCACCCATTAACCAGGTTAAAATATCCATATGTACAATATCATTTTTCCTTCTCATTCTTACTGATTGTAATACTCACTCAGCCTGCTTTCAATAATCCACACACATAATTGTTAGTTTAATGCCATTCATGTAATAAATAAGATGAACGTTTATTGACCAAATATTCGTACGCTGTGATGTTTTTTCCGTTTGCAGAATCGCATTTCTACGTATGATTTTCCCATGTTTTGTGAAAACGAAAAAAGCATACAACCCACAACACATAAATGTGTTTCTAAATCCAAACCAAACATGACACAGCCAACATGTTACGTAGAACACTCAACAATGATCACAAAGCAGCCCGACAGGACTGGCACGTCATATAAAAATGTCAATGAATGTTTGTTGGATGCAAAAAGTTCCATTCCATTATCAAAATCTGCATCTCTTCAAGCATTCTCGAGCGGAAATCCATTTTCAGAAAACTTATTGTCTTCAAAATATGCTAAATCACCGAAAAAAAAGAACAATTCATCGTTGTGGACAGCAGCGGAAAAACGAACCAATATTTCTACAGCTAATGTCAAAAATTTGCAAATTGTTGCTCCTGGCACATCGTTGGCGCAAACCATACACAATTCCGGGTGTAACCGATACAACAAGTATGATAGCGAATCATCTTCGGGTAGTGATTTAATTGATTTGACGTCAAGAAAAAATGTATCGGTTGGCGAAATGTACAATGACGATATTGATTACATGAACAATTATTTAAAGAGTTTGCCCGACTACAATGAACTTAATAAGAAGATCAGCAATGAACAACAAAAATGTGAAGACATTTATGATCGTTTGCTATGCATAAACTCGTCATTGAAATCGAATTTTTTGCCGAAATCAAATTCATGTCATAGCATAGCCACGGCATTGGTCAAACCACATCAGTCCCTTTCCGTACAAAGCGGCAATAATGCTAAAAATAAAATAATCCGCAGTTCGTCAAGTTCGGTTGTCAATCACAACATGATAAGCAACCGCGGCCATACTGGCGTCACTCCAATTGATTCGATGAATTCGATTAAAACTAAAGCTTGCCCCAACCAGATAATATCAAGCAAGCTACCGCAAGTATCATCGCAAACGAAACTCGATTTCAATGAAACGTTTAAATTTCAAAATACATTGCCAAAGAGCGCATCAAGTACGAGTCTACAACGTAGTAACTCAAAAAAGGGACTCAACGAATTTTGGTCAGAAAATTTAGCGAAGTCCAATCAACAGAAGATGGGATGGAATTACAATAAAATCATGGCAAATAAATTAGAGAACTTCAAATCCGATAATAATAATGTAACCCCATCAAACGGATATAAACTACAAAAAAATATGTCGTTATCCCAGCTGGGTCAGAGAATTCAGCAGAATGTATCCCGAGAGGAACTATATAATTTGATATGTAACAATGAGCCAGACCGACCGTTGGAAACAGATACCAGTACGAAAATCAATTGCAACAGTTTCTTGCAGTTAGATGCTCCCCCAAAATTGACATCGAATAGATCAACACAAATTCATAAACCACAATCGGTGCAACAGTCTTATGTTCCAATGGGAATGATAAATCCATTAGAAAAAAGTGTTTCACAGGCTAGTATGCCCTCAACATACATACAGAGAATGAAAATGAAATCACCAAGAAAAAACAACATTCCAACATTGTGTCAACCAATTTGCAGAAGTACGTCAAACACATATGTTTTCAGTCGAGCTCACGAAGGACAACAAGATAGTTTCACTCCAACAAATTTAATGAAAAGCTCGTCTAGTTCATCAATTTTCAATACTGCGCCGGGGAACATGACTGCTAATATCAAACTAATAACCAACTGTAGTATCAATAACACAAACAACATAGGCACAGTTTCTGGTCAATCGAATAAATCGAAAGCTGTTTTAAATAGTGAAAATAAAATAAACATGAATAACGAACTGCTCAAAATACAAAATGAGATTCCGTTTCATGAGACGTCATCCCTAAATAAGCGAAATACAGAAAACAAATTTGCGGCAAAAACATTCAATAAATTTAATAGTATTTTCACGCAAAATCGAAAGAATCCTAATTCAAAATCTAATATTCAGATGCCAATATTCACAAACCTGCCTTCTACGATTTCACATGATACAAACATAAAGAGTTCGAGAAATTCTATGAATATAAGGTAACTACAACTAACACATCGGTCAATAAGTCCCGAGCCTAACCACCAAGTGGCAACACTAATGTCAAACCCATATCATTTTCGAAAACTACAACCTTTTTTAGGAATCCAGTCAAAATTTGAGCCAAATCCGACCATCAGTTCGCTAATTACAGCACTTTAAATGAAGCAATTTTCCAATTTTCCAAAATCATGGAAAAACTGCATTTCTCCTCTCGATTTGACACATGTATTCCAGAAGAAAAACGAGCAGGAGTACCAAACCCATACTATGATTAGTTTATGGCATCCTTAGGCTTTCGAAATCAATCATTAGATATGGAAGAATTGAATTTATGCATAGCCATAAGAGCGATTTTGTCGATAAGCCTCCAAATTGTTCAAAATATGTGGTTTTGGAAGAAATCATTGCCAAAATCCGTTAAGTGATATCGGAATTCTCAAATGTGATAGTTCATAGATTTGCTAAGGCCATAGGGCAACTAACTCAAGCTATAGTTACAACTTTGCATGGATATATGCATATGAAATACTCAATCGAAAAAGCCTTGCCGCGTTTTTGGATATGGAGTAGATAGAACAGTTTTTTGGGGATTCGAAGCCCGTTTGGAGCTGTATAAGTAAAATTTGAATAGGGTTTTGCCTTTATATATTAGAATTAATGTATTTTGAGTTCATTTGAATAGATTCGATCTATAAATTGCGGGTAGAAATCGCCAAAAACGGTTTGTAGCGACCAAGGTCGCAAAATATGAGTTCGGGCATTATTAGTGGATTTAGGTATAGAAAAATATTCGCGAACCAGTGGGAAAGATATAAAACAACATGAAAAGTCACTTATGCATCATTTTAGACCTATCCGAATGTCAAATCTTGATAAAACATAGCAAATTTGGCGAAGAAAACTATGTTGTTCAAATGCGAGTTTCATCCAGGTCAAAGAACTGTTTATATGGTGATATAATTGAACGAAATTGGTTTCAAACTGCTTCACTAACCATTGTATTTTTTAGGTCTGGTCATTCTCTGAACTCTCCACATGAATATACTTGAATACAATGCATCAGAAGAAAGTTATACCGTTTTAACGGCAAAATTGAAGCATTTTCGGGAGTCTTTCTCTCGTATAGCTGTAACTAGCAAACTGATGGTCGGATTTGGCTCAAATTTTGACTGGATTCCTAAAAAAGGTTGTAGTTTTCGAAAATGATATGGGTTTGACATTAGTGTTGCCACTTGGTGGTTAGGCTCGGGACTTATTGACCGATGTGTTAAAATCTTGTGAAATACACATATCAAAAATCAAAGCGTGGCAATCTCATATTACTTATATTGTTCTCTCATTTCTGGTCATTTAGCTCAAACAAATGTTTAGAAACAACATTGAAATCAGAGAAAAATAATGATAAAACATTACCAACAAAATTAATGTCGCAAACTGTTTCTGGTCCACTGAAACTTAATCAGATGATTGGTACTCAGTATGTGGAAAACACAAAATCTAATGAGAGCTGTTACATAAAAAACAACTCTATCATGGATCACCAAAATAATTGTATGCATCCAAAAATGAATTTTACATCATCTATAATAATGACGTCTACCGTACCTGAACTGCAAACCCTAAGATTAAAAAAAAACACAGATAGGGAGCTCACTGAAAATAGAAATGAACAATATTCAATGCGAAATGTTGATACGCATAACACCAACCTTGCTAGTTCATTTGATTCTACTAGTGCAATCAATTCTTCAACGAATTGTAACCATATCAAGCCGGAAATATGTGAGAAGGTCTTTTTGCAAAATCCAACATCAAATGCAGCCCAAATACCAATCCACCAACGAAGTAGTCACGAAAGACCAGAGCAGATTTTTGGTACAAAGGTGACCAACCAAATATGTTTCTTTATTGTTTTTTTCTAAACTAACTGCTTATTACTGTAATCAGCATTAATTAAAACAGTCAATTTTACGCACGCATTTTGAAAATTTATGTGAGCTTCTATTTAGGCTTTCTGCATCACTCTTGCCAAAATATACAAAATATTTAAACCAAATATGAGAATATATCCCTCCATTTGAATCTTTATTCACAAATGTTCGAGTTTACAAAACAATCGCTCTTATTTCTTAATTAAACTATCAGAGTCTGAAATTCAAAATCCTAGTAAAAGAACAGTCACTTCTTGATTTGGAAACGAAAATTTATCACAAAGTAACTACTCATGACAAAGATTTGTATAGCATTTATAATTCAGTTTATTCAGAAAATTCGTATTGACCATAGACGAAAGCATTCGACGATTCCCAACGTATCGAAATGGAAAGTCAAAGTAGCATTCCATTGAATAATAAATGTATTGATTCGACAACGATCTTGTTTTTAATAATCATAATTAGGTTATTTGATTGAAATGGGAAATTTTTCGAAAATAAAGCGGGAAAATGGAGTATAAATCGGCAAGTTAAAAATATCGAGAAAATTGGTTGAAAAATCGGCGAAATTTATCTCAAAACCTTCTTCAATGAATCGGGATTTGAAAAAAATCAGTCGGGAATCATGACGAAATCGGGGAATACCCGCTTAGAAGCGATATAACTGATAACTGTAATAAGTGGGTAATATGTAATAAAACCTTATTACCCATTTATTGCTGGTAACAAATCAGATAACATTGTGAAACACCAAACTGATACTAAAATTAATACAACAGCGTAATGCTTTGGTATAGAATATCTAAAATAGTATTTCGCAATATTGTGCATTTCAATATTATTAACACGTTTGGGCAAAAAATCTGTTTCTTTTTCTTGTTTACTAATTGTGCTTTCTCGAAAATAATATATCCCATATTTTGAAAAGTTTCGGCATGAGATATGCATAGGTTCGGATTGATTTTTGCTATGGTAGCATCAGGCTGGGACTGATGACCCGGGCTGGAATTCTATGACATTCCACCAAAATCGTTCGGAATTATTTTTCTTGCACGTAAGACTATATTGGAGTGAAAGAGAGACATTCCACTAATTTTCATCATCCCAGCCAAATTATTGCGATAACTATCATCCTTCCTTGAGTTATCGGAATAATTCCGGTAGAAAGATGAAAATCAGTGGAATCTCGCTCTTTCACTCCAATATAATCTTACGTACGAAAAAAATAATTCCGAACGATTTTGGTGGAATGTCATAGAATTCCAGCCCCGATATCTCTTGTTAAATGGTATTTCTATACGAAATGTAATCGATAATTTTTCAGGTCAAGACAAACCCCTATTTCTTCGAAAATAATTTTCGAACAACCGAAATTCGTGTAAAAATACGACATTCGTATTATTTTAATACTCAATGAGACAGTATTGAAAACGGCTTTTAACCATTTTGATAAATCAATGGAAATTGATTTGAAACCACATTCTAAATGACTAGGCAAGCATATCACCTTATGACAAACAATTAGTTCATATGAAATAGTTGTAGAAATTGATATCATTGCGCAGAAGATATTGCACTATCCATTTTTCACAGTTTTTCGCCAAAATAATTGGATTTCTTGAACAACAGAAAAAAACATAAACCCTTTTCTGTATAGGTCTTTATAGGAGATAAAATTGATTGGCCCAATTATAAACTACTTTTTTAATTTTATTCGACCATACATTCGGTGGCTTTAAAGAGTATGTTCTTCATGCTTTGAATATGTTGCCATCTAAAATACTCATTTTTGAATCTAATGGACTATATGAATAATTTTTGATTTTATATCTTTCACATACAAAACATGAATTTTAAAAAATTTAACAAAAAAGCTTCTTCATTAAATTAATCATATTTTAGAAGTGAATCATTTCTAACGCAGAATCGGACTGGTTTACATATATCCAGAGACAGCATATTTGCTGCTGAGTAGGCCTGAGCTGAGGTAAATTTTCTAACTCAGGCACCTGAAGCGTTATTTTAACGCATTCACAGTACAAAATTCACATTCCCCTCCAGATCAGCCTCAAATTTGACTTTGCAAATTTGGATGGGAATATGAATTTTGTACTGTGAATGCGTTAAAATAACGCTTCAGGCGCCTGAGTTAGCAAATTTAGCTCAGCTTAGGTCTACTCAGCAGCAAATATGTAGTCTCTGCATATATCATAGTTAAATTTGTCTGTTGTGTGTGCGGATCAAACACAAAGCGATCTATTTTTAGTACTACCAACATTTAAACGTTTGACTGGATCATTGAGAAACTTACACATCACATATGACATAAAAGTTATTACCGGCGATGAGCAACCATCGACACGTTTTTTTCACCTGAAATATTAAAAAATTCTCTAGAGCACCAAATATACACATGGCGGTTTCATAGACAACACAATGATTATATTAAAACAACAATAAAGTAAGACTCTTCTTGATGTCCTTTTAATCGAAAAATGCTTTGTATTTTGAAAATGGGTGCACCACATTGAGAATTTGATCGGGGTGTAAAATGGCCTTACTACGGCCATACTACTACCATTTAAAACTTGTAATAACCACCCTGAATTGCACAATCCAATCTTCTACCGACGTATATAGTCCTTTATCTATAGATATATCCCTTTTGCAAAGAATTCTGAACTACTGATGCTTCAGAGTGTCCAAAAATCTCGAACATTTCAGAACAAATGGGATTTTTCCACATAGTTATTTCCAAGAATATTCTTAGAATGAATATAAATTTGTTATTATTAATTAATGAAATATCTCAACACTATTGACAAAGTTCGGCTGAAATTTTTACTCAGTATTAAATTTCCCTCCTTCACAGTAGCTGCCATACCTCTATCCCTGCAATCTATGCGAGCGAGTATGTTATATATAACATAATTGTCACTGCTAAAATCTCTATCGTATTTTGTTATTGAATTAATAAAACGATATCTTATAACATTTTGTTATAACGCATAGGTGCAAGTACGATGAACTCGATTTAGTCATCCCAATTTTTATTGGGTTAGTGAAATGATGATTATGAATTAGGATTTGCCTTAAAAAAAGAAATAGCGGTGCAAAAATGTTCCTAAAAGTTATTTTGGTTACATTGCTGTCAAACAAAATACACGTAACAGCGCCAACTTGAAAATAATAAAAAAACTTTTCGCCGATAAAATCTGAATTGCTCTTGATTTAGTTCATTCGAATTCCAACAAAAATTTGATTTGTAATTACGTATTCATTATGTAACGCAAAAAAATCAAAAAAACATGCGTTTAATTACAATCTTTAAATTGTTCAATACTATGCCATTCGGAGATTTTATAGTATGAAACTTCACTATCGGAGCATTTAAGATTCATGCACGATTCCCTAAACAGCTTTTTATTATATGTGGCTATTATTCGATGGTGGGGAGAACTGTAAAACGAACATTCAATAATAGCCACATATAATAAAAAGCTGTTTAGGGAATCGTGCATGAATCTTAAATGCTCCGATAGTGAAGTTTCATACTATAAAATCTCCGAATGGCATAGTATTGAACAATTTAAAGATTGTAATTAAACGCATGTTTTTTTGATTTTTTTGCGTTACATAATGAATACGTAATTACAAATCAAATTTTTGTTGGAATTCGAATGAACTAAATCAAGAGCAATTCAGATTTTTTTTATATCAAATCAATTCTACTCGTTAAATTCGTTTTGAAACTAAATGTTCATCACATCAAGGACTTAACGATGATACGATGAATAATCAAAAAAGAAGCAAAGATACAAAAATACAGAATAAACCGTCGAGCAACAAATGATCGTATTATTTTTAGAATGTTCGTTTCTTCCTATACAATGATCCTCTCTTTATTTTGTCAACCGACATTCATTTAATTTATATTGTGACTTTGTCGGTGCTCGAACAATCAAAATATTCACATTTAGGATTTCATGAAATTTATCAAATTTGGTCCATAGTATCATTATGATTATGAATTTATGGAGTTATAATAGTTTCAACCTATTTATTTAGTAAATTTATCTCCTTTTGGTTCCTGGGTGCTTCGATAGTTTTGACTTTTTTCCATATTGAAGAATTTGGTACTGAATTACGCATTTTTTTGTTTACTTTGAAAAGTACACTTTTCTACTGCACACCCACCATGTAAATCCTTAGAAGATATAATATTCTTGATTTAGAGTCGAAGTATAATTGAAGCACGATCACTTTAAACGTCCGTCGAAGCTGATGAGACAGCACCTCATTTCCTCTCCTGTTTCGTTTATTTTTATTTTCATCTATACGACGTCACTCACAACAACTATCTCTACGCTTTCGAAAAATACACACACACATTCGATCACACACTATGTAATATCACATTTCCCACGCAACACTTTTCCGAATGTGCTACGATATATTTTCTGAACTAGGCGCTTGAAAAAGTGTTCGATGGGGAAAATGTTATGTGTGTATGTGACCACGACCAATACAATTAAACGTAACTCGCATACTACAACATCGAGGAAAAAATAAATTTTATTTACTTCGTACAGATAAATTTCATACCAACTCTTCATTATAGAAAGTATTTTTTCGGTAACGAAGATAATAAAATCTTATTTACAATTTCTGTTCGTCCTTCTATTCGAAAATTTCTGAATTTCGCTTGTACGAAGGAGAACTTCAGAAAAAACAATCCTAATTTCGTATTAGGGTCACGAGCAACTTCGTTAAATTGACATTTTTCGTTATTTCATACGATGCGGCAACGATGACGTTTGTTCTGAATAGTTGTAGCAAACCTAGATCCTCGGTGAAAAATGTGTGAAATTGGATCAAGAAATTTTTATCAAACATAACATTTATGGCGAACATTTAGGAATTCACAACTCAAATAAAAGACAATTCAAAACATTGACGTCAGTTTAACCAAAATTTTGTGTAAAGTGGTCGACAAAAACTTTCGAACATGATGTAACTTTAAAAAAAATTAATACTAAGTCATTAGAACAATCGATTTGCAAATTGTTGTTTTTCCAATATATTTAATGTAAATGTTCAATGAAATTTCGGTTATAAGAGAAATTGGTCTCAATCGGTTTTGGCAGAAATCTAGTTTGCAATTGCGTGACAAATCGAAAAATAAAAGAAATAAATAAGATGGCTAACTCGCCACCTACATCCTCATCGACGATAACACCGTCGCGACGATATCGCTATTCACGTAGTTCAACTGCTAGCGTAACACAGTTGCTTTCTGACAGTTGCAACAGTTTGTTGCAGCGCTTTCGTCGACATCCAAGTGAAAGACCGGAAAAAAAGGCAAATGTTTTGCCTAATACAAGGTAAAAAAACTAAAATGAAAGACTGATATATTTCAATTGTGATTGTGAACCTGGTGATATGATCGGATACAATATATAAAAACAAAAATCACAAGCATATTCTCATTTAGTGCCAATAGCAGCAACATATAATAGAAAAAAAGGAATTTAATAAAAGTGATAAGAGAAATATAATATACAAATTTTGTTTAATTTGTATTCAGGACAAATGCAGTTGTATCCGAACCGTTACGGATAGTTTCTATTCATAAATAACAGTTAAATTCAACAAATAAGTGTGTAAAAGCAAATCATATTAAGAATGATATACATTGTCGATAAATGTGATGACAAAACGGTTGGAAAAGCCATGAAAATCATTTTTCAAAAATGGGAATAGCACACTATGCGGATAACCTATGTTAAGATTTTCATTTGATTGATTTCGTGATAACTTACACTAAGGAAATTTCATATACATAATATTTTTCCTTCCCATTTGCCAATATATATTAGTTTCTCAATCCAACGGTCAACATCACTTCAGCCTACGTGTATTTTTTGAGGTGTATTTTAATATCTATTTTGAGTCTGACAGTTACAATTTTTTGTTGTTCTTTGTGTATTTCATACATCTTTTCAAGGACATTTTGCAGATAAGTACGGATAAGCACGGATAAGCTCAGACATTAAAACAAATGCAATATGCCACCAGAACCCAATGAATATTCATCTTGATCTGAATTGAATTTGAGTCTGTCGAATAACCCAGCATTTCGGTTCTAGAATGCCTCAATATTTTGATAATTTTGAAGTTATGGGGAATTAATTAAATTGTAATACTTATTGGCGAGAAAACACCTTTTTTCAACATCAGTTATATAGAAATATTTCAATTGTAGAATAGACGTCATGTAAATCTGTAAACACAACATTATTGCGATGGTCAAATTATTCATTTCGCGGACCATAGAATTCTAATTTATTCCGTTTCCTTTTTCGGGCAAAAACACTGATTTTTTTTTCAAATAGGTCGTTCCAGTCCGAATTTTAACATCCGACGAAACTTATATCATAATAATATGAACATTACATGAGTATTAGGAAATAGCATAAAATTTGAGGAAATTCTGTTCTGGAAAAAAATTTTACATGAAAATTTCACACCGTACAATTCATTCAAATCGTATACATATTTAACTGAATTGACTTTGTACAGATTTTCAGCCATTTTTCCTCAAAAACTTTGCCTTTCTCAATAATTGTTGTCGTTAATTACGAACCTTCGGGATCTCATTTTATAATGAAAGTCTTAGATTTTTATATTGGCGGAGAAATACATGAAAACATGTCAATCTGCCAGAGATTACTATGGGATATTTTTATTCATATGGGATAGAAATATCGCATAAAAATATCAGATATTTTTCATGCGTTGCGTTATAGTTTTCCTATAATATTTCGATTTTTTTCAGAAAAAGTGTTTTTCAACAAAATTCGATTTTGAAATTCTGGGGTTTTAAATTCGGATTTTGTTTAATTTCTCACGAAGAATTTTGTGATGGTTTCAGTTTGAAGCTTCGATTGAACATTTTGAAAAATTAACCCAAAAATGCTAGTTAATAAGATACCGATCTTATTAACATATTAATAACATATTTTCGTTATTAACCTGGCAAATTTTTCAAAACGACTCATCATAAATGAAAACTGAAACCACCATAAAATTCTTCATGAAAAACTGAACAAAATTCAATTCCAAAACCTCAAAGTTTCAAAATCGAATTTTGTTAAAAACACTTTTTCTGAAAAAAAAATCGAAATATGTTAGGAAAACTATACGTTTCGTTGTTGTTATGCATTTGCAGTATAAAAACGAAAGGGTAAGAAATCTTTCCAATGGGATGATTGAACATTCCAATGTAAAGATGTCAAATGGACGGACATTTGGTGTCGAATTTAGGGCGAACAAAATTTTTCGTTCGTCCGTTTGAGATTTTGTTCGTTCAAAAAAGCCCGCAAATCTAACTTTCGGAACATTAATAAGCAATAAGCTATTATAACTTAATTTTCAACGAGGAATTCATTTCTGATATTGTTTAATTCAAAATATTATAAAGGAGTCAAACGAACATATACTTTTGTCCACCCATCCGTCCTAAATTTTCAAAAGGACGGACGGACGGACAAACGTGTGTTCGTTTGACACAGTTATTCCAATGGGATGATTGAACATTCCAATGGGATGATTGCTTACCCCTACGACAACGCAACGCATGAAAAATATCTGATATTTTTTGAGATATTTCTATCCCATATGAATAAAAATATCTCTGCGATCTGCCTTTATATTCGATGTGACCTTTCGATCATGAATTGAATTGTTGCGCATACAATCATAATTTACTTTCATGCACATTTGCAACCTGCTTAAAATTTGTTTGTATATGGCCAATAGGTCTGTATCTGTGTTCGAACCAAGTGAGTCAAAGGGCAAATCACTCAAAAATTGTTGAGAAAGAGAAGTTTTCTTGCTATTACTTTTGGAATCACTTTTGAGTGATGGTCCATCGTAGGTACCGAAAAAAAATGATGCTCATCATATCAAGGACTTAACGATGAATAGTCGACGAAGAAGAAAAGATACAAAAATACAGAACACTTAATCTTTTTTCTCGGTTCCAGCCATGGTCGGTAGTAAAGTATACAGGGTTCTTGAATTTCATTATTTTATTAAGACAAAATTGTGTAGTAAACTGATTAATTTCGATCATAATCGACTGGGTTCAATTTTTGTCACACTGAACATAAAGGTCTACTGTATCTAATATGAACTGCTGAGGATATTCGTTGGACATAGTTTGTGTGGTACCATAAATGTGGTACTTGAAAATGTTAGTACGCAAAAGCGGTACACGTGTTGTTGTAATGACGGCTTAAAAGCCCCGAAAAAAATTATTTTGATGTACCGCTTTTGCGTACCAACATTTTCAAGAACCTTATTTCGTACGAACGTAACAATGTCCAACGAATATTCTCAGCAGTTCATATCACTATCTGATATTTGACAATGAAAACATTTTTAGATTAAATGAACTGAGTCCATGTGAAGAAAATTCAAATATGTCCCATAAAAGTACATTTAGCGATCGTGCAAAAAAACAGTCGAATAATCCATCGACTACCACAAGCAGTGGAAGTTCATTAACTACATCAGCCTTAGATCGACTTCGCTATAATTTGAGTCCTGTTACATCATATTACAAACCATTGATGAAATCATTCACACGCCGGGACGAGTCACCAAGTAAAGTTAGTACTACTACTACTACTACTACTACTTCTACTACTACTATGAACCACACATATCTCCTTTGGAATATTTGAAAATAGAATCAATTTACGATATCCAGTTATTAAAATGAAACCACTGTAAATTCAAAATTTAGTCATTTGCCTCTGATTAAAATACTTCTTTTTGTTCCTTTTTACATTTTGAATATTTTTGATGGTGTTAATTATATAGAAAAAAGATGAAGTAGACAGAGATAAAACTCCAAAAGCCGAAGAGAAAATGTCAACTATATCAAGACTCGAATCAAAGTATTCAGATGTTCTAGGTCGACGAAGGTACAAAGAGCAACGTGAACAGGAAGATCGTGATAAGACATTAGAGCCTGATAGAATACCATTTGCACCATTAACACGAAGCGCAACAACAATTTTATCATCGGGTGCTATATCAAAAAAAGAATCCACTCCTTATCGTTTAAATCGGAACTATTCCGACAGAAAACCTATACCTAGCACTTCATCAAGTACATATAAGCCGCGGTCTGAGTTGAATCCACTGCAAACTAATAGCTCTTCTGGATTTGCTATTCCAAAAACAAATTACTATGAATCGCCAACAATGAAGCATAAAGACTCAGTATATGATATATATGGCACACGGTTACCCAATTCAAATCGTTTCAATGACTATGAACAGTTGAGTTTGAATACAAAGTCTGGTTATTACGAAGGCCGAGACAAGGAAAATACCTTTAAATCAAAATATGAGCCTAGTCGATTGTATGCAGAACTAAACAATAATGAAACATTTAGCCGAGATCGAAATATTCCACATTATCAAAAAGATTATCGACGAACAGCCACAACTAATTTCAATACCTACAATGATAGCTTATTGGATACACCATCAACTTCTAGTGGATACCGTGGACGTAATATGATTAGTGCAAATCGCTATGCTCCAGAAAAATCTGTAGATTATCATAGATCACAAACGAAAAAGTTTTTTGATTCGGAAAAATCGTCGGTGTTACGTAATATGAACGATGATGAACCAGTTAAAAGCGAAGCAGTTAAAGAGCGTGAAGCTCGACGCAAAGAAATTCAAGGTTTAATAGCAAAATATGCACAAATCGATGACATTTTTTTGAGAGCTATCGACAGTGACACCGCGTCAAATGACACAACCAATGCCCGTAGTAGCATGAGCAATCATTACAATAGTTTGAACTCCACGCGCCCGAATGGAGGTCTATTGGATGATTCAACGTCAGATTCATTATTGCAAAAAAATGTTGCTGCAGCTGTAGGCTATAGCCCATATCCATATCCACAAACATCTAGAAAAACGTCATATTTGCCATTATCAAAAACACAAAGTGTATCCTCAATATCTTCCGCCAATCGAACACGCATTCCAAAAACATTGCCAACATTTGTAAGAAAAAGATGGTTATTTAAAGATATCAAATCTTTGCTTGTTTTTCTTAGAATTTTTCAAATGTTCTTTAACAATAAAATACGTTCTCAGTGCGTTTTATTTTGATGACTAACCAATTAACATTCTATTCGAACTAATTCGAAACAAAAAAACATTCAATGAAATGTTACAACAATTTCTTCTCAAACATTTCTTCGAATAAAATATATGGTCAGAATACGTTAAGTTATAGATGGAGAAATCAACTCCTCTGCGCATAGAAGCACCTGAATAAAGAGCTGTCAAACTTTGCCCATCTCTCACTAACTGTCACACTTACTGTTAGAGAGAAAGAGATGTTATTCACAGTGGACTCAATTTAAATGTTCTTCATTGGAATCACACGTTATGTATTTAGGTTTTGATTCGACCAAACATTGAATAGTAATAATACTCCAAAACCTCACCAATGTTCATATTCAATACTTTGATGACAATCCCGAACTGACTTCGTTTTAATTTTTATTTGCAATGTGTATTAACTTCTGGGTGCTAAGAGATAATAACAATAATATATTTGTGTTATTTCTAACAATCAAATTTAGTGCAAATGAGTTGAAAATGAATGCGATAAATTGAATAACACTTTAACAGCGGGAGCAATAAAACAAAATTTTTCAATTGCCTAATCGTTGAAAATTCCTTTAAATCCCATATTTTGACATGTAAGTTCACATCATTTTTGAAAAAATAATAAATAATTTGTTTGCTTACCGACGAAGCCCAAAGAAAATAATTTTGCACAGTTGAAAAATATCGTTTGAGAGTATTGTCTTACAAAATGATGAAATAATTAAAAAAAATTATTCAAATGGGAACTATTCATCATTTTTTTTCTCGAAAAATGCAAAACGATTTTTTCAATTGTACATTTTCAAGTACATATTATCTTATCGAAAAACGAAATCGTATTTTTCTCGTGTCTACGACTATTATGTATGACGATCACTTGCTTGCCGTTACCACTGCCAAATCTACACACTGTCGTTTGTAAATCAACCTCAATTAAATGAATATTGATTCATAAAATCACTCAAACGCCATCAAATTTTGAATATGAAATCCACGCTCACTTTCAACTTGGATGACTTCCCGAACAAAACAACGCTTCGAATTCAAATGTGCTTTAATCTAAATGATGAATGTGGTTACATTGCAACATTAATATAACCTTTATTATTTGGAAATATCGATGTTGCGGTAATCGTTAAATTGTTTGGATTGATTGCTGGATTATATGGATATAATTGGATGTATGAATTGTGGACACCACTGCATGCTGAAATATCGATTTTTTTGTTTAAACCTGAAACGTGGATGACGACAATGATGACATTGTTAATAAATCACCAGGCATTGAAATCTCCAACTATACAAGATGATGCCGATGGCCATTTGATTTATCGTACTGGCGATATTCTACATAACAGATGTTCGTGATAATTTTGTGACATTTTTTACAGATTTTATAGTTTAAAAAAAATTGACAAACATTCATTTCATTGACATATTTGTATAAAAACAATGAGAGTAATTTTTTAAAAAGAAATTGGTTTTCAAATCATTCAATCAATGCCATAAATTTAAACACTTTTTCCGAAATGTTTGTTGAAAAGGGTCTAGAAATGCATATTTGTCAAATTTTTCTTTCCATCTTTTTCGTTAATATTCGGGATGCTGAGAGCAGAACACAATTTTAACGTCCAAAAATGTAACGATTTTAGTCATAGGTTTTTGCATTGGCTCCAAAATGCAAACACAGCTACTATTTGTTTTTTAAATTTGAAATCGTTTGCAGTATTTATGATACGCAGACTGGCCGTATGAAATGATAAAATCGTTGCATTTACCTGTAGTTTCAATTATTTTTGCCAATCGCATTGGGATACAATTCTATGGAAATTTAAAAAAATATTTTGAGGCTTCAATTCAAACAAGAAATAAATAATTTGAGTCGATTGCAATTTCATTATCAATGGGCATCGAAATTTCGATATAAATTCCAATATTGTCATAGTATTGTTAGCGTCAACATTTTTGAATTTTAACATCATCTGGTTTGTTGTAACAACGAACTACCGCCACATTTGCAACTTTCAACATCTTGACCGAACGACACTGCCAGAGCGAGATGAAAACTCAATATAGTAAGTTTCTAATATCATATTTTGTCTATTTTGGTTCATTAATTGTAATCTTCAATAATTTTTCATATGATTTAACTGAAGTTAGAATTTTGTTTGAATTGTTTACATGGCATTGCCCTGAAGACGCCAATTATTTTTTACATTGAAGTTTTTTCAAATGTGTTTCTCTCTCAACAGATTCGCGATAATCGCTATTGAATATGAGATACCATGTCGAGAAAAAAAATTACGCCGGACAAAAAAAAAGAAGGATACGATATCATTACGATAAAATTAGCAGTTAATGCCATCCTCCGGACGTAGCACACTGCGGAATCAAAAGAGACTTTCCTGATCAAGGTATCTAAACCACCAGAATAGGATTGTTCGAATTACTGTTGATGTTATTCAAAATCAACACAGCAGTTGATGAATGATTCGAAGTTTTTACCGAAAAGCATCGGCAGGGGTTTGGCATTGTTATATTGTGGCTGCACTGAATGCATATATGGTGGGACGTAAAAAATGTAAGTTGCAAAAAATAAGTTTGTTTTCAACTAAAAATCTTAAAAAGAATGTATGTTTTTTTGAAGTGAAACATTTGCGAAAAAGAATATATGTTTATGATCAAGTAAATTTGGCAAAACGATTGCATGTTTTTCTATTCATTCAGTAATAGTATAGGAAAGCATATTTCAGTCCACTCAGTCACAGTGGATTACTAGTAACACCAACGAGTTCCAATTAAAGATATATAGGGTAAGGTGGGGCTAAACCGGACACTTTGAATAACTCCACACTGGTTGGGTGTATCGAACCCTGGGAGGTCTCTATGAACGCGTCTTAATGAGATTTATTGACGACTATCACCAAATCATTTGATCGAGTCAGTATCGCGCCAGTAGTTCACAAGTGCAGATGAGGTCTTTTTTCGTAAAGTAAACAATTTGTTTCGTTTTTCTGGGTTTTCTTGTTGTAATTTAAATATCGGTAGGGTTTTGAGCTAACGGCACAATGAGAAAATCTAAAAAAACTGTAAAAAAAACACCACGGTTACACTTGTCGACGAATGATGCAATAGAAACTTGGTCAAATGCGTTCGGTGACGTAAGACGTCAATGCATCTCATTAAGACGCGTTCATAGAGAACTTCCACCGTTCGATACACCCAACCAGTGTGAAGTTATTCAAAATGTCCGGTTTAGCCCCACCGTTTTTTGGATTTTCGATTTTGAGGGGTCACCTTGCAAGCAACATAGCACCAATAATGGTGAATATTTTTCAAAATTCAAACCCAATGTTTTGTAGCTAAGGAAATTAGCTTCAAAATGGTACATAACACTTTTCATATTATCAAATTTTTGTGACCAATTTTGGAAAATCTAAATCCGTCCGGTTTAGCCCCACCTTACCTTACAACATCTATGCCACCATTAGACTGATGTTCTATTGGTGGAATATGAAATTACCAATAGATGCTGTGAAATGCATTGGTAAATGGTATTGAAATCTAAAATGTGATGCGCTCTATTAAATGTATGCGTGTATATGTGAGATTATGTCATTTTGAATTTTAGAAGTACCATTTACCAATGCATTTCACAGCATCTATTGATAATTTCAAATTCCACCAATAGAACAGCAGTCTAATACCAATGACGTTTTGTGTGTGTAGCTGCATAATTTGTTCCCCGACTCTTAATTGCCACAAAATTTGATTGATATTGTGGCATTTTTATGACGATTTTAGGCAATAATTTATGATGTATTTTGTAGGAATTTATTCCGTCTTTTGTATTTATTATGACGAATTTTGTAATTTTTATGACGATATTCGGAAAACTTATGAAGTTTTCCTATTTTTCCATTAGTAACTTGCAATTTCAACTACAAATGAAAATAGAGTAAATAATTTAAAAAAAATATTCTCTAGTAATAAATACTATGAACTTTGAAATCGATTTTTGGCTGATTTTCAAATCAAAATTGTGCGCTTCCAAATTGATGACAAAATTAAGACTTGGAAGAATTCTACCCTTAATAATTTTCACGCGCCACTCCGATTCTCTGGAATAACTAAATTTCTTTAGCGACTCAAACACGAAAATTGCATATCAAAAACCTTCAATGATGCATTATAATTATATTGGATATGTTTTTTATGATTGTTTCAATTATAAATTGTTTTCATTCATAATTTTTTTATAGAAAATATTTTATATCTGTTCGCTTCTGCAAACAAGTGCAAAATAAACGAAGAATATGGCGAAAGTAGACTTTTTGTCACTTATTTACACCGCCAAAAACTGGCTGAACATTTTGATTTTGAAGGAAAATGACTCTTAGAGTGATTATTTCGTGTTTATACAATTTAGGATGTTACATAGAATGTTTAGTTTTAAATAATCAATTTATTTTGGTTTTCGACTAATTAAAACAACCCTCATTTATGAATAGAGGTATCAACGAACAAAATTTCGATCAAATGTTCGCTCGAATTTTTTTTTGGAATTGTTCGAAACGTACCCAATTTTTTTTTCAAAGAGTTGTTCGAAATTTTGTTCGTTGACACCTCTACTTATGAATAAGTAATTGACCAAACATGGTCTATAAACGTGCAAAAAATGTTTTGTTCCTCTATTGCCGACATTTTTGGCAAATAACTGAGTGAACACAAATGTCAAACGATATACCAAAATTTTGGTGCATAATATGTGCCGGCATCCGAATGGAATGCAGAAAAAATAAATGAAGAAATCCAAAAACGCAGAAAAAAAGTTGCAAAAAAAATTGCAGAAAGAAAAAATGCAGATTTTTTTTTGCAGAAAAACGTAGAAAATGTTTTGCAGAAAAATAAATCGCAGAAATGACAAAACGCAGAAAAAAATATGGAGAAAGACAAAATGCAGAAAAATAAAACGCAGAAAAACAAAATACAGAAAACCAAAAACACTGAAAAATGGCTTTTCGGGCGATTTCCTATATACAAGTGTCATCTTTGAACAAAATTCCAAAAATTTCAAAAAAGGCGATTTTACACCAAATTTATGGGGAAGGGTTTGGTTGTTCACAGACTCCTATTACTATTGTAAAAAACATAAGTTTGCCTTGACCGAAACCCTGAAAAATGACATTTTGGGCGATTTTTTTATACAAAAGTGTCATTTTCAAAGGGTTTTATGGATTTCACGTGTGTAAAAAAGCAAAAACAATATAGAAATTATAATTTTAAATAATGTCAAAACCGTAGCTGCGCAACAGGTACACTCTGTGGTCACGTTTGACGTTTACTTTGCCCTGTTTTTATTCTTTACAACAACAAATCACACACATTCTGTGTAGTTCGGTACACTGTACACCATGCTGTACACAGAAATTCCAGATGGCGCCAGCTGTATTAAATCGCTAGTTGCGCAGCTACGGTCAAAACTTTCAATATTCATTTTTGCTATTGTTGGTCATTTGCAATGGCGTCAACCACACTTTCTTATTCTTATAAACGATAGAAATAATCGAAAAATATGGCGGTGGTAAATGATATACACCAAATTTGAACCGATGGTGTATTCTGTTTCAATTTCGGTGTATAAAATGCACCAAATAAAAACCAGATCATATCATGCACCGGTATCGGTGTACTTTATACACCTTTGGTTTTTGAAGCAATTCATGCACCACTTTAGGTGCAGATTTCACACCGACATGAATTGGTATATTTTGTACACCAAACACAGTAAACACAATGATTCTAGCAATGTTGAGATTTGACACTTGACTTTGTTTTAGTAACATTTGCTCTAGAAAAAGTTCAAAAGTTCTGAAATAAATACATGAAGTTTTGGTTTGTGATTCAGTACATTTTGAACTTTTTCTAGTACAAATGGTACTTAAATGGATTTTAGTGGCAAATTTCATATTGCGGTTCCAAAAGTTAGAAGCAACGTGTTTACTGTGAATTTTGTGGATTTTCTGAACCGACTCGAGAAGCAGTGCATTTTATACACCAAATTTGGTGTTTGTTTTGAACCATGACGGTGGATTAAATATACCGGAATGGTGTATATTTTGCACCAGTGTATTGAAAACACCATGGGTGCACGGCGATTTTTCAGCGATAGTAGAGCAGTGTATAATATGCACCAAAATTTGAACATTTTTGTCCTTTTATTCAATTTTTTCGCCAACACACCAAAAGTAGTGCACAATATGTACCAAAATGCGATTTTGTGCCCGCTGAGAAGTTTGCACCTTTCCTTATTATAGAAAAACATGTTTTCTTTTTCTATGATATATCATAATAAATATATATTCTCTTTTCTTTTTCCTCAGCAAAAATCGTTTGATAACATAGTTTACAGTTCATATTCATTAATTGCATATTTTCGTTTCTATTTCTAATTATTAGGACCCTACAGATGTCTGGATTTACCGAACTGTTCTATCCAACGCAACGCAGATACACTAACAATCACAATTGACAAATGACAAATATTAGCACAATCAAATATTTATAAATTTTAGAGAAAAGAAAATAATTCCAAAAATTTGCCGTGTGAGAATTGAATATGTGGACTAAGTCCACTGGGTTTGTCTAAATAAAATTTGGGTGGGGAGGGGATAAAATTGTATTGTAAGTATGCGCCTGAATTTTTGTTATTGCGATGGCAAAAACGATTGAAGGTACAGTCAAAACCTTTTCTAATTTTATTTTTGAATATTTAATATCGAGAACAACAATATCAGTGTTTTCAACGCAAAACCTTCTATATATTTGAAATACACTTCAGGTTAATTATTGGTTATAGAAACCGCAGTTACAAATAAAAATTCATTATCTTTTCTTTTGCAGATAAAATCATGGCAACGCTGGGTGAGGGAACGTTTGGTAGAGTTGTAAAAGTAAAAGACATGCAAATGTACGTTTTTAGCTCGTTTAAGAGTTACTATTCAACAAAAAACTTGTTGCCCTGTTCTAAAATTTGTCAGATTTTATACTACTTTAAATTGGAGACTTCATGATAAAATTCACATTAGATTTTTTTGTCAGCTCCATAAAAAAATTGTTAGTTCCATATATTAATTTGGTAATAATGTAAACAAATATATTATTCCATGAATGAACACTCGTTCATACAGGGACTACTACATGGCACTAAAAATCATCAAAAATGTCGAGAAATACAGAGAAGCGGCCAAGCTAGAAATAAATGCATTAGAGAAAATTTCTCAACGTGATCCAAATTGTGAACAGTAAGTAGACTTTATTAATATAAATATTATTGATGGTTGGAAAAGTCTGCATCTATGTAAATAGATGCAATCACTATAGTAAGAGAATGTATCTTCAAAGTGACGAGTTTTTTTTTCAATATCATGGAAGACGGTAGTCCGACAAGTGACGCTTCATAGACTGTGCATTTCAAGATCAAATGCCGGTATGAAAGTCCCGATCGGTTTTCAAACAAAAAAGTCAAGGGCAAGGTAGTTTGTCCTTGCTTTTCTATGAAAGTATCGATTCGGATTGGTCTTTGTCCGTTTATCCGTAAATTTATCGACCCCCACAGATCCCGGTGCTCATATGCCTGAGTTGTAGCTGGTGTCGGGGCACATTGGAATCCGTTTCCAAACTGATATTTGCATTACAAGAAAATCTTCTATAGCTCCGCCAAATTCATGCATACCATCGGACAAGAGTGGCTCATAATCATTTGAAAAAGATCTTTAAAAAGTTCCATACAGATGTCAATGTTTATGTGATATAAAAGAAAAAAGTCGATTTTCATGAAAAATCGATCCCCTTAAATTTGATACAAAGCTAAATCCCTCGAGCGATTGTAGCCGGCTACGATAAAAATGCAGCCAAAAATATGTATAGTGGTCGGAAAAGGCGCATGAAAGGCCATATCCGCTTAATTTTTGACATTTCATGGTCGGAAAATAGATAAACTGAAAATATATTTTTGTTCAGAGCTTCCGGACGACATTTTTGTCTATAAATCTGTCATTTTTTCTGAAAATAATGAGACTCTACGAACACTTAAATATCCACTTAATTTGGTCATAAATGGGCATTTTTGCATCTGAATATGAGGCTGTGAGAATGAAAACGGCAATACAGGAATAAACATTCTGAAACGAAACATAAAACAGCAAACACGCAAAAGTGAATCATGAATTTACGCACACGTACCGATACTTATGGTTCACTGCTGCTGCTCAAACATTCATGATTCACTTTTGCGTGTTTGCTGTTTTATGTTTCGTTTCAGAATGTTTATTCCTGTATTGCCATTTTCATTCTCACAGCCTCATATATGAAATTGGACTTTTGTTCGGGGGATACATAAATATGCATATCCCAGAGCTTTGGTTGGTGGAAACTAATGTTTTTCAATGGAATAATGAGGGTCCATAATTACTTCAAAACTCCTTTTATGGTTTATGATGTTTAGTCACATTTGCCGCATTTTACAATGTGCAATTAGGGAGAAATGGGACTATTTTTGATAGTAGTGAAAATTTCCTATCTACAGAGTTTGTGAAAATATTGAAAATTTATTCACAATAACTTATTAGAATTAAAACTAATAATTAATTAATTTCTTTTAGCTTATGTGTAAAAATGTTGGACTGGTTCGATTTCCATGGCCATATGTGTATCGCTTTCGAAATGCTTGGCTTAAGTGTTTTCGATTTTTTGGTAAAATTCAGCAGATATTTAGATTTCTTGATATTATTTTCATATTTATAATTTGTATTTTCAGCGCGAAAATAACTATGAACCATATCCACTAGATCACGTACGTCACATGGCATATCAATTGTGTTACTCTGTGAAATTTTTACATGATAACCGTCTGACTCACACAGACCTCAAACCAGAAAATATTTTGTTTGTCGATTCGGAATACAGTACATGTTATAATCATAAAAAGGTAGGCCATACAAATAATAAAATACAATTCCCATTTATTTTTATATTAAATTATTTTAACAATTGATCTAGAGCCGAGAAATACGAAAAGTGAAATGTACAGACGTGCGACTCATTGATTTTGGTAGCGCAACATTCGATCACGAACATCACAGTACAATTGTATCTACTAGACATTATAGAGCACCTGAAGTTATATTAGAGTTAGGCTGGTCACAGCCGTGTGATGTTTGGTCTATTGGGTAAATTCTAAGATGATTTAATAATTTAAATGAATTTATTTTCGACAATTTCATTAAATTTGCAGTTGTATCATGTTTGAGTTATATTTGGGTATAACACTCTTCCAAACGCACGACAATCGAGAACATTTGGCTATGATGGAGCGAATTCTGGGAACAATACCTTACAGAATGGCACGGTAAGGATATGTACATGATGCATTGAATATCTCGATTTGCTAGCATGAAAATTTAAAAAAAAATTGAGATGTTCTCTCGACACGTGTGTAAGAAATAATTGTATCATTAAGATTTTAGCGGTCGGCAACGATGTATCAAAACCTTAGAACAATTTAATGAAAAATACATAGAAAGTCATCATATGTAAATCGGTAGGGTAATGTTGTAAAGTCGAAACGTCAAACCAATGGCTTTAACAATTGCGTCTTGTCAAAAAATCATAAAATAGTGAATCTCATTTTGATCGCATGTGTTTCTGAATGGTATGAAAATTGTGAAAAAAATCATTTTTGAAAGCAGGTGAATTTCGTCGAATTTGGATGTGGCGATAACACCAATGAATTGGACACACAAAAGATTGTATCGGAATCGATGAAAAGTGAACTTATTTCTCGATTTTCGGCTGTTTTGCCACCGTCTACATGGGAAGTTTGTATGAAATCTCGGAGCGCCGCTGGAATCACATTGGTTCAAATGGAAGAATTTACACAGGACCAAAACACGGATTTCAGAGCGGAATTCGTTTTGTCGCTTTGGTTCAAAAGCTTGCGTTGTTGGTATTTGTTCGTAGACGAATGCCATGCTTCGATTCAATTCTCAAGTATTTTTTGTCACGACGGTTCATATAAATCCGCATGAGTGCTCATAGAGAAAGCAAGGTGCCTTACTTCCGTAAGGTAATCTTTTCTACACTCCCCTATACATTGTGACATAGAAAATTTTTTACCGTGTTTTCTACGTACAGTGGACCACGACCCTACCCTACGACCCATAACAAATGCTAGATTTCGCGATTTTCGGCTTTCAAAAATCGGAAAAAAAACTGATTTTTATTGGATCGAATAATCCGGGGTGATCGCAATACTTTTCTTACACGATATGGTCGTGTGGAAAAGTAAAAATTACAGCCAAAATGACTTAGGTGGTCGACACATTACAACATTCCCCCACGAATTTAAAATACGATTTTGTTAAAAAATTTGAGGTGAAGGTCTTGTCATTTCATCACCAAATTTATAGTTGAGTTTATATATATCTATGGGTGAGATTGAGAGTAGTGTATGTTTGATTGACTTTGTTACGAAAGAGAAGAGCAAGTTTCTGTCGACTTAAAAATGGTTAAAAGCGGGTATGTTCGTTTTTAGCGGGTCCTCGCGGTTTTTCACGGTTTCCGCGGAACTGATAAGAGATAACAACTTGGTGTCTTCGGCAAAGTTGTAGCACTCGAGGTCTTCTATAACATTGCTGAAGACAGTTATCTCTTATCTCTTATCAGTTCCGCGAAAAGCGCGAAAAATGATAAGAAAAAAAAAGTTCTATATAAAATTTGCTTTTTTATGTGCGCGATTTGCGCGCAACTGATAAGAGATAAGAGATAACTGTCTTCAGCTTAGTTATAGAAGACCTCGAGTACTACAACTTTGCCGAAGACACCATGTTGTTATCTTTTATCAGTTGCGCGAAAACCATGAAGACCGCGGCGGCTAGACGGTACTACAACATACTCTACTTTAACGCCAACAGAATCATCAGAAAACATACTCGCCCTTTCAAAAATATAAATCGAAGAAAAAACATACTCCACTCTCAATCTCACCCATAGATATGTGAAAGTGATAAGAATAACGCAGATTCGTAGAATTTCGAAATGAGGCCAAATGTTTTCTTGTTCCTCTTCTAAATGGTACGACTGGGCTCAAGTCTAATGATAGAATTATTTATTCGGTGTGCAAAATTTGACAATCGACACAAGTCTACAACTAATACATTGGACTGATTTTAAACAAAGATTTCCAATTTTTCTCCCAACAAACCAATAAAAATCACTGTATGCCATTATGTTGTCATAACTAAAAATTCATATCTTCAAAAATGTGTTCGAATCCATATCCATTTAGTCATCATGTTCTTTACAGCAAAACCAAAACCAAGTATTTTTACCACGGTAAATTGAATTGGGATGAAAAGTCATCAGCGGGCCGTTACGTTCGTGATCATTGCAAACCACTAAACAGGTACCTAATGTCAGATTGTGAAGAACATTTAGAATTGTTTGACTTGATTAAAAAGATGTTGGAGTACGAGCCAAGTCAAAGAATAACACTGGGTAATTATTCGTCAAATCAATTATGAACAAAAATATGATAATTTTAATAAATATAATTTTGAAGGTGAGGCGCTGCGTCATCCATTCTTCAGTAGACTTCCCCCCCATCAACGGGTCATGGAAAAGGGTCAAACAACCTCAACTAGCAGCAGTCGTGAAAGGTCACATAGTCTCTCAAGATGAGATTCAGTACGATTTGGTTATTATTAATTTTCTTGTCAACGATGCATAATGTCAGAGTAATTTCCGCCAAAAAATTGAAATGATAGTCTTTCGATTATAAGAAATTATTTGGAAAGTTTTCTTTGATTGGTCAATGTTTGGTTTACGTTTTTTAAGTGAGTACAGAAAAAAATGAATTTTATAGTAGTTCTAAAGTTATGGTATACACTGTACATAGGGATCTACATGCAGATAAAAAACAAAAAAGAATAAGTATTTGAGGTTTTAAACTGACTACCGTAAAATCATATTCATACACTATGTACTGATTGATTTTTTAGGGAAAAAAGTTGATTGAAGGAGTAACTATGTCAAAAATTACCATGAGATAGAATGTTGTCCATGTGAATTCATGTTTCACTGTTGCACATTTGCATAATTATTCCTGCAATTCCACTCTAATTCCTAGTCACTCCATTTTGCATAGCTCGTATCGATTATTATTGAAATGAATCTGTTCAAATGAAATCAATGAAATTTATTAGATAGTTAATGCGATCTGTCTGAATCTACTTCAGTGGTGATCCGTTTAATATTGTCTTAAAATATTTTTGTGTCAGAAAATATTTTGTCAGTCAGTATCTTTTCGGCTCTACATGGGGCTTATATTCTACATCTGCATTCTATATTGAAGTTTGTAGTCCAAATTTCATTGATTTGCAGAATAAAATAATCTTGATTTTAAAAGAAAAAAATCTGTATTGCACATACAAACATATACATCTTCTGTACAATATAGTTTCAAAATCTAGACAGCTCAATGCTCAACTTTTCACATATATATTGATAATGCTTGACTTTATAATTTGCAGTCAGTTTATTACAAATTGCAAATTTCATTCTTTCACTACTATTTCACCAGAACAAATTATTTTAATAACCAAATCGTACTTTATAAAATGATTTAATTTAATTGACATCGAATTGAATAGATCTAGGACCTGATTTTACTTATTAAATAAAGGCGGAGACAAGAAGAAAATCTCACATCTGTCTTTAGAATCTTAATGACGAAAGATTTAATAAAAAAATCAATTCTTCATACACTACTGTGGACGTGCAATTTTCAAAAGGAATCGATCTCATTTAATAGTACATGAGATGAATTATCAAGAATCGATAAATATTTCTCATTTCAAACACAAAATGGCTAAGATATCATTCTAAGCCGCTTGACTGAAATGACTATACCTCACTAACCAGGTTGACCGTCACACTGACACAATGATGTCATATTGTACAGAAAAATATTTGTTGATTTTGTTGATGCTTTTTGCCTTGATCATAACACACTGACAAGATTCACGTTGTGATGTTTTGGATTTTCAAAAACGAGGCAAAAAAGAAAAGGATACAATTATAACAGTCTGTCAAAATCTAAGACCTTGCAATGTAAGCCTTGTCAGTGCCCTGTGGTGTTGATCAAGTCCATTTAATCTTTGGGATTTCGTGAACAAAATCCAGTAAATCACCATTCAACACATTTTTGTGCATATGCAAAATATTGTTCGCAAGTCTAATTCAAGTAGAAAGAATGTTTTCAAAAGAAATTCCAATGCATTGCGATACTATGTAGTGTATGACGTATTATGGTTTTCATTTACTTCACTTTCACGTGTACATTATTTTGAATTGAATTTGAAAATAATTAAAACAATTTAAAGTTAAATTAAATGAATAGAGTTTTATTTCTTTTAACACACATATTCTGTAACAAAAAATGTTATCGATTTCACTCCAAGATATCTTCAAGACGTGATGGTGTTGGTAAGGCATTCAATGTCATAAGCATAATCTGTTGTTTTTCCTGTAAGAAGGATCGCGTTTCATCATACCGATCTTTCGACGACTTTGTACGAGTTTCCAAAGGATTTTCGGGAACATGATCATCTTCTTGCTCATCGAACATGATAATCTTATCACGATCCAACCCCTTCGACATCAAATACTTCAATTCTCTCTCTTTCATTTCAGTTTTGATGGGGTCAATTATCGACTTTAATTGCTTTAAAACTGGTGCAAAACACGTTCGCGTTACTTTTATATCAACGTTATCCAATTCTTCTTGCAAACTGTATTTCCCATCTGAATTAATTCAAATCCCAAGAAACAATTGTTTACGCAAATACATCCATTACCAAGCGCATGTAAACGGTCGAATTAAGGCCCGCATTTGTGTGTAGTTTCAGTCATTTTTAACGTCACAATGGAAGTAGAAAAAACGGTAAAAACAAATCAATTAGAAGGATATAAAAACGATTATGAATCAATTGATAACAAAATAACAAATCACGTGTGAAACAAGGTTATATTAGGGTGAACATTTAAAGTAAAATTTGGGGGTTAATTTGACTACAGTTACTACGGATTTCAACGTCATAAATGGACCCACCTCGAGTATCATCCAACTGTACGCTTCACTTGAACTAGGTCCATTTATGACTTTGGTAAATATTGGTGTGGATATTGAAATTGACCAACTGACTGAGAAAATCTTACATACAACAACTTACCTACGGGTTTAACCCGTATTACATCGTGTATTTGCACACACATTTTAATGTACATAGCCACAAAAATCAAGCTTTGAAAATAACTAATCGTTAATGTTTTATTTTATCCTCTTAATCTACGCTCTACTTTTCATCGACAGCATTTGATTGGCCATCTGGATTGGCCATCTCGACATTTTGGCCATATCCTTTCTGGTGTTAACACAAATGATTCGTGCACATTCAAGTCGAAAACCATACAACGGCCTAGAATAAACGAATTGAACTCGAAATTGAAATACAATAAAACATGAATGTGATTGTATTGTGTAGATCACATACCTCTGTACAAGATGCACTTCACCGCACAGATGTCACGATGCCAAGTAACAGTAGAAGCGTTTTGATCATTCATTGGGTTTGAGTGCCAGTTTTTCTGGAAGAATATTTTCTTTGACCCCAATAACCCAAATCCTGTATCATTTGTATTGAAATGTATTCGCTGCCATGATTGTGGTTTGGCCTTACGATTTTTGACACGAATCTTGCAAATACTTGTGTCACCAATTTTCACAAAACCTGGCAAATCGGATTCCGCTTCCGGTTGTTTGGTTACTTTACGGCTGCGATGGCCTGCAACTCGACGTCGTTGACGTAGTTCACGCCGTCGTATGCGTCGATTGTACCGTCTCACTGTCTGTTCGGTATCCAATTGCTCTGGATTGTGGCTTTCACGCTCACTTCGACGCTTTTCCCGGTGCTTCCCAGCTCTTTCGGCTCTAGTTACATTTGCTGTCGGTTTTTGGCTGGCATTTTGTTTTCGATCAAGTTGCTTGCGCCGTCTGCTTCGATCAGTCACGATAAGCGATGGGAGTCTTACATCCTTGTGTGGGCGACAATCTTTGCATACTTTGAATCGGTCACTTTTTGTGCTTCTTGGAAATCGCCGCAAGCAATTGGCACAGGTTTGTGATGTATACGGCTCTGGTGTAAGCACAACATCCGTTTTGCCGTCCTTTTTTAGGCTAACTATAAACTTTCGCTGATCCGGTGTTCGTTTTGTTCTATTCACACCGATTTTCGAATTTGATGGGAACGCCGCATCACCAAGGAACACAACTCCTGTCTCATTCTTTGTTATGTGTTGAGCCATCAAATCTATTTCGCGATTAGACTCGATGTACTTGTGCAACGATAGCTGTGCGTATTTTCTTCTGGCGTATGTAGCCAATGAATCTGTCAGCATTTTCATTTTGTGCTTAATGAATGATTTCAATTGTGATCCTCGCGGCGATACGGATGTGATCGGATAGCTTTTCAAGTCGCGCTGTTCTTTGTGCACGTACTTACTGGCTGAATTGCTGATTCATACTTGTAACCGCCTTTGCTGACTGACTTTTCGTACTTTTCCTTGATTTGAGACAGAGTCACGCCGGCTCCTTTGCGTTTGGGCCTGCTAAACAACACCGACACGGCACTACTGTTGGTTTGAATTTTGTGGTAAAACTCTTTCGAACCGGTTCTGAACTGTCTGATTTTGTCCATATCGAACACAATCCCCCATGCCTCGTCTTTGTTCTCGCCTTGCTTGTAGTATGTACGATAATCAGCACAGATATTCCATCCCCGTTCATTTCTCAACTGGCCAATGATATCAATCAAATCATTATGGTCGAATGGTATGTGCTTCAGTTTTGTATCACTGAGTGGAATAGCGGCGAAATTCTTCACTTTTGGTATCTTCGGTACCGACGGCTCTCGATTGTTCACTGGATCACGATCGTATGCTTCCCATTGTTGACGAAGGTCAAAAATTTCTCGATAATGCGTTGAATGCCTATCCACAAAGACTCGAACCAGTCCTTTTGAATGTATTCGTACATTGTGAAGTATTTTACGAATGATGGGCCACAAAGCTCAGACACTTCCTTAAACAGTATATCCATCTTCGACTTTCGACTTTTATCATCATCATATGTCCAATCTTCATTGTACATCGAACTTTTCATCGTATTTCGTATGTCAATGTCATCGAAAGGCAAGTATGATGCATTATAAATAACCTCAAGTGAGCTTCCTTTGTGATCGAATTCATGGCACTTTACACGTAGAAAGTAGGTCAATCTCACCCAACAGTACGTCTCCAAATTTGTCTTCACATTGGTCACATACTGGTCCTTGAGAGCATAGACTTGACGGGTCATTTGATGGCGGCGTGACCATTCAAAGTTGGGGCTACCTTGTGTGACCATCGCGAGAAATGCGTCTGGCATTTGGGCTGTGAGTGGATCTTTGATGTTGTCCGATGTGACACAGTTGAAACAGTCTGTAATCAAATTTGCTCCATTTTGATTCACGAAGAAGTCCAAAATGACTTTCATTGCATTCAAACATTTCTCGAAGAACTTATGGATCAGAAATCCTCTTTCTGTTTCTGTTAAGTTCGGATTAATTATCGAATTAAATGCCAATTTGATCGCGCCGATTTCGATTTTGCCATTTTCTGTCGACTGTTTTGTTGAATCTTCTTTCCGATTGGCACGTTTTTTCTTCACAATGGAGTGCTTTTTCATCTGCACTTTGTTCTCCCTTGGCCTACCAAACGTCTTATTGTGCCGCTTACGCCTCGCCATCGCGATGGATCCAAACGAGAGAAAATAAATTGTAGAACGAATGAAATGTTTGTTGCAAGCGATTGTGAAATTGGCTAACGCTAGGGAAATCGAAAACAATGCACTGATTGATCGCTTTAAACGAATACGATAACAATGTGATGATATTCATCAGTCCGTCACCATAAATCATGTCGAAACATGTACACCACAAGCAAAAACGTGATTTTACGCTAATTTGTTGCAATTTTCTACGTTCACTAAACTCACCTCGGTCACAATAAGTCCACTTCGTATAAATCCAAACGATTTGAATAGATCAGGCTTCGTTTGCTCTCTGTCTCCCTGTCTCAATGCGGATCTCGCCTCAAAATTGCGAAATAATCTTTTGAAAAAAAGAACCACAATCCATTATTATTGATGCACTACATGAGTTCGATAACAACATTAAATTCACATATGAAGTTGAACAAAATGGGAGACTTGGTTATTTGGATTTAAGCATCATGAGAAGAGAAAATGGCAAGATGATTTCAAATTGGTACCACAAACCAATTGCATCTAATCGACTATTGAACTTCTATTCGAACCATCCAAAGCGTATGAAATACAATGTGGCCAGATCATTCATTCGCAAAATTTTTCGCTGCAGTCATAAAGAATATTGGAGTGAAAATTTGCAACGAATCAACGACATTTTAAAGAAGAATAATTATCCGGAGAAGGTCATCATGAGTTTGATCGAGCAAGTGAGAAAGAGGAAACCAATTGATGCATCGCAGAGCTATGCGTTTTTATCGTCGACAAGAATCGATGATACAGCAACAATTAACGATGAAACAATCACAATAAATCAATACTCATCGATGGCATATGTTCCGGGTCTGAGTGAATCAATTGAAAATAGCTGCAAACAGTTTACTCCAAATCTAAAACTAGCAATGAGACCGTATAAGAAAAATTCGTGCATGTTTGCTAATCAAAAAAGTCGCATCAAGACAGACGACAAATCTGGATTGGTATATAAAATTGAGTGCAACGATTGCTCAGCTGTTTACATTGGAGAAACTATCCAAAAATTCGGAACGAGAAAATCACAGCACAAATACGATTGCAACAAGCCAGTCACGAAGTTTTCATCAGCGCTGGCGAAACACGCGAAAAATAATGATCATCAGTTCAAGTTTGATGAAGGAACGATTCTAAAGCGAGAGAGAAATAAAACAAAACTCCAAATTCATGAAGTCAACCAAATCATCAAGTTTGAAATGAATGCATGCAATGATAAAACCGATAAAAAAGACTACACAAATGCTTATGTTAATCTCATTAAGAATTCAAAATAAGTTTTTGACACCGAAATATTCAATTCATATTAATTAATGTTGATAGGTTTTTGAATCGATTAGGTTTTTTCGTGCAATATGATTCCGTTTAATGAGCGCATTTTCGCCAATCAGAGCAAGTGCCAAACTTTGACATTTCGCTGCATTGTTTGTTATTGAAAATTAGATTCACAGTGTTAGAGTCAATTGGCTCTTGGTAAATTTATTTATTTACACACGAAATCTAGGTTATTTATTGATAAATTGTGAAAAATTATTTCATTTTAGATCCTGAAGATGGCTTTTGATAAGCCGAAATATATCGATCAAATGGAATCATAAAATTTTTTTTGCTTTTTCATTCGGAACAAGAAGGAGGCAATACAAAAAGTCACACACTTTGTGTGAATCAAATAAATTCACCGTTCCGGCAATACAACATACACAGTCCAATTGGATTGTTTTTTCACAATCCATTAATTGTAATTGGTAACAAAAAAATGGGAAAACTTGTTGTGATCGAATTAATTTATATTGATTTATTCGCGTCAATCAATGCAATCGGTCTAGAATATTGCGATTTTTCCCGCTTTGAACATACGTCATTACATGAAAATGTGAACCGGTATGACGAAACAACAATTTCACAACAATTTCCAAAATAATCCACAATTTAATTTGTGCAAAAACTCTATTCTTAGCCGTACATACCTGTAAAAGGGTTTTGGTCTCGCAATTAAAGCAACTATTTAGCAAAAAAAATTGCTTTTTTTCGTTGAATGTTCACTCAAAAAAATGTGCGCCAATTTCTTGTCAATGTTCCTACACCAATGAGCCGCTGTGCTGAGTGACATTTGAAAAACGAATCGTTCGGCGTCAATGTTTCATCCTTTGAACACCACATTTGCATGGCGTGACGGTTGCTGCGTCAAAACTGCTGTTTTACGAATTGGAGACAGAAAGGGAAATCTCCAAAGAGAAGCAAAATGTTTTTGCTTCGACAGTTTTTTATACGAATATATAAACAAAAAAAAATGGAACGGACCATTTTCAATGCATTTTTCTTGGACAAAATGAGAAGAAGTTACAATCCCGTGTGGAAATTTTTGACTGACTATTCAGTCGATTAATTTGGGACATTTTGACTGACTAAAAGTGATTGTCTCGAACAAAATAAGCAACTGCAGTTAACTTTAATCACAAATCACTCTTAGTCAAAATGTCCCAAATTAGTCGACTGACTGAAAGAATAACTAAACGTGATTGTCTCCATACAAAACGCATGATTTCAATCAACTTAGCCAGTTCTAGTTGTGTATCACTACATACAGTTACATACAACTGAGTGACTGTTAGTCATTTTATTTGCACACGGGATGACATTATAAACAAAATTATTATTATATCGTGCATATTTCTAGAGCTAATGAATAGTTTGAAGATTTCAAGTGACATTTACAATTGAAAATGTTGCACAACGGTTCTGATTTCTCAATTGATTCAAAGATGAAAACGATCAAATCTGTTGTACATATATAATTCTCAGTCAGTCAGTCAGTTTTCACACCCACTATTACCGTCACAAATGGATGTGATTCGAGTGTAGCGTACAGTTGGATGATACCCGAATTTCATCCGATTCGGACGGGATTGTATGTGAATTAATGGTCAAATGCACCACTGAAGTGGGCAAAAGCATTACTTAATTTAACGGTAGAAAGCATTACATAAATGTTACATACATGTATTCTGCCAATTTGCTGATTTCCCATCTGTATTTTCATGTTCACCATTTTCGCAGATATTCATTCCGAAATATTCTTGGCTTTCATCGTCGCTATCATATTTTCTGCTTTCATCTGACTTCGAAATATTTGATAAATTTACAGAAGTAGTTTCAGATGAATTTGCATTGCTTTCAATTGGTAATGGGAATGTTTGTACAAAACACTTGTTGTTAATCAATTTAAGTGCTTCAAGGTCCCCTTGGCATGTGTCTATTGAACCTTTTATTTGATCTATTTCCACTGAAATTTTAAGCATCTCGTCCTCATTTAAATGTGCATTTATTTCAAGTGAATGAATCCGTTCGTCAATGTTCTGATATTTGTTGGTTATAGCAATCAGGCGACAAAATACGTCCATGGAGAACTTTTTCATTTTTAATAGGTCTACATTGCTCATATTGTTAATCTCTAATCTCAAACTGTCCAATCTTTTTCTTTGTTCGAATTGTTGATTGATTTTTGTATCCAACCAAGAAACCAGTTTTTCTGTATGCATTTTTATATTTTTCTCAAAACAGGTATTTTCGTTGTTTAAATACTTTATCCCATTTTCTGGATCGAAGTGGATCATAAGGTAAAATCGCAATAAATATTGCGATTGAAAATACAAAAAAACATTGTAGAAATTCTGAAAACAGACAAGAAACAATTATTATCCAGACGTTCCCCTTCCAGGCATATATTCAAAAAAAATGTAGTCAAAGTTTTAGTCACAGTTTCAACCAGTCTTGAATAAATTTTAATTATTGTAATTGATTTCGACACATTGCGAAATCACACCAATTTTACTTAAATTTAAATGTTTTTCTGCCGTTTCGAAAGCATTCTATAACACAGAATGACCCATAATGTATTTGAACAAAAATAACATGAAAAATCGACAACGGTATAGATTTGGTTTGAAAATTTTCTAATTTGACAATATTTGCCCATTCTGCAAAGTAGATTCCGCAGTTCTTCTTTGTAACACAGTGCAAAAATCTCCAATTTTTTTTACACATTGTGGGTTTGAATGGACTATTATAGAGGACTTCGAAACAAACACTTTGCATCATAAGTTTTTCAGGGTAACATATTAATAAGAATTTTATCAAAAAAACTTTGGAAATTTCGTGAAGTTTACCGTAGTGTCACTTATTTGACAATGATAACAAACCAATACATTAGAACAACACTTAGTGTACCGATGCAACTAATGAACGAAGAAACGAACACAAAACATAACAAGAAAGCAGGTACGTTACGCTGGCCCTCAAATTTAATGCTGGGATGTGACCGGTACCATTATTTAGTGCTGGCGAATGGTACCATCGGTTAATTTTATGCTGCGATAGGGAGCTAGCACTAATTGAAGAATGTGTAAAAACTCGATTTTTGGCCCCTTTACAGGGGAGCTACCCGAAAATGAAACTTTTTTGTATCGTGACCGGGCTATAAAATTAGTGCTAGATTAGTGCTGGCAAATGCCATTCTCAGATCAAAAAAATGTTCACTGGAGGCCGAGCACTAGTTGTAGAAGTGTTTGAAAACTCGATTTTGGCACTTTTACAGGGGAGCTACCCGAAAATGGAACTTTTTTGTATCGTGACCGGGCTATGAAATTAGTGCTAGATTAGTGCTGGCAAATGCCATTCTTAGATCGAAAAAATGTTCACTGGGTGCCGAACACTGATAGTAGAAATGTTTGAAAAGTCGATTTTTGGTACTTTTGCAGGGGAGCTTACACGCTCCCTATCGCAGCATAAAATTACCCGATGGTATCATTCGTCAGCACTAATTGAGCACTAAATAGTGGTACCGGTCACATCCCAGCATTAAATTTGGGGGGCAGAGTAACGTACCTCAAGAAAGCATGCCAACAGATTATCTGCATCTCATTCGAACACACAGATATACCGTGCAACTGCGCTGTGCATGTATGCAATGGCGATGTCTGTCGCTTGATATTTCCTGTCTTGTTTTTTCTTTAATTTGACTATCCGCACAACCATTGTTATTTCATACATTCATATACACAATTGAAACTGTGCTATTTGTAGCCGCACAATCCTTACAGAGGCTATTAAATAGTGCTACATGGCTTTGCCACATTATCCGATACTGATTAGCCGTTACTCTTTACAGTTTCCGCATTAAATAAACGGTAAAGTAACAACAAATCGGATAATGTGGCAAAGCAAGCAGAAAAATATCGCGCGATATCAGAGCGATACCTGCCTTATGCGATATTGAAAATATGCGTTTTAGGCAGCTTTGTAAATTCGTAGTTGTAAACAACTCCAAATGCAATTCCTCCACATGAAAACTCATTTTCTTTCATTATCTTAATTATTTTTAGGCTTTTGAAACTGACAAACATTAAACCGAACATTTTTCATGCTTTTATGGATGAAAATTACACTTTTTTAAATTTTATTTTGCGAACGTGCGAACAAGCGAACGAACAAAAAAAAATCTGCGAACGAACGAACATTGTTCGCAAAATAAAATTTGTATGAACGAACAAAAATTGAAAAAAATTGCGGACGAACGAACGAAAATGCGAATATTTTCGGTTCGTGGACACCTCTACCTACCAGTTTCGAGAAAAATGCAAAAAATTGTGATAAACCGCTAAAGATGATTTTGACCATTTCGAAGTCAAAAGAAGTCTCCACTTTCATTACAAAGTCCGTAAAACTCACTCTACTTTCATTCTTGCCCATAGAAGTCAAAATATACAGTACGCCCCCGCAAATTAGAAATGAAATGTCCCGAGACCATTTCCAATTTGCGGAGTTTTCTAATTTCTGAGGTTTTTTCAATTTCATCCAAAAACGGTGTATTGAATGAAAAACTGATAAGGGGAATGATTTGCTTAATTGAAAACGATATATTGAACACTGTTCAATCAAGTATTGTATGTAAATGCAGTTATTCTAGTGATTATAAATATATAGTAAGTCTTTTAGTTTATTTTACTGGATAAACTACTCCTCGGAACAAACCGAAATAAATGATGACCGGCTGTTCTTATTATATCAAAAAGTTAGCATTCTATATACAATTTTGTATATGCAAATTCTCTGATGGAACAAATCGGTTTCGATTTGTTAATGATTGATGATTGACGCAGACAATATGAAACAGATTACTTCTTGACTTAATTTTTAACTTCATGGTAAACGTCGAAAATCTCAAGCTGATCTGCTAATATAGTTATTCAACGAAATGGAAAAGACTTTCATTGCGTTTTTTCATTAAAAATGAAGTAAATTTCCCTTTGTCTTGAATGAAATGATTCGGAAACCCCGGAAATTAGAAATTTTCCATACAAATTTTCAAACCTGAAATTCATTTCTAATTTCTGAGGTTTTCTAATTCTCGGGTTTCTAATTTGCGGTGGCGCACCGTAATTTGCTTTCTATGCATTGTAAATGTAAAAATCCGAACAAGCCATAATTTCCAAACGAACACGATTTTTTTTCTAAATTTCCATTCAAACAAACGAACAAAAAAGTTTTTTTCAACTTTCCGAACGAAAGAACGAACATAAATAATTTTTTGAATCATGTCGAACGAACGTTCGAAGCCAACACTAGGTGGTTAGTACAAAATGTGTTTGAACCTAGGGGCGAGACACGAATTCTATTAGAATCTAATTACATTCAATTTTATATATTTTTTGCTTTATGTCCTCTAATTTTTCTAGTTTTGGTGCAAAAGTGCTAATATTGTGCTATTATTTTAAGTTTCGTGTCTCCCCCCTAGGTTTGAACTCACTGGAAAATCATCGATTCATGCCGTTTCTCTGCATATAACCAAGGCCGAAGAAAATATTCATTTAAATCAAAAATATTTTAATGAGTATTCTGTCGTTTCCGGGAATTTTTTTTAAATCAATATTTTGGCACTTTTGCTTCGAAATTCCCATATTTCCACTGTTTTCGATATACTAGTAGAACTCATTGGCTCTATTCTTTGCGTTTGCTTTGAGGATCTCTACCATCGTGCATACCCCCAATGTGTGAGAAGATTTGTTGCACTTTGTAATCATACAAAAATCAGCGCCGTGAAAACAACCCTGGAGACCACGTGAAAAAAAGAATTTTCCGAATTTTCAAAGTCTTTCATAACGTTTTTGCTCATTCTAAAAATTTGCAACACAACTCTATTAGTGAGACGTAAAAGAACGCACGTTTGTCAAACTAGGTAGCAATAAAGAGAAGTACGTTTCATTGCAACTAATAATGGTTAAAAGAATATATGAGTAGTTTGGAGCGAAAATGTAATACAGAAAAGTTGAGAAGAAAAATGTCAAATGAAAAGAGATAGCTATATAGTTCACCATAGTTTACTATACAGTTTGCTATATAGCTATCCCTTTTCCGCTCATTCATCATCGACATTTTTCCACTCAACTTTGCTGTATAACATTTTCGCTCCAAACTACTCATATGTTCGTTTTTGGCGGGTCGTCGTGGTTTTGCACGGTTTCTGCGGAACTGATAAGAGAAAATAACTTGATGTCTTCAGCAAAGTTGTAGTACCCGAGGTCTTCTATAACATTGCTGCCGCGGAAAGCGCGAAAAATGAAGAAAAACAGTTCTATACAAAGAACACCGCAACTGAGTAGACTGGCTGTACGATTTTAATACGTAGAGTCTACAGCTTTCAGTGGCGTGTTGCGTCCTACTTTGCTTTTTTATGCACGCGATTTGCGCGCAACTGATAAGAGACAACTGTCTTCAGCAATGTTATAGAGGATTTCGAGTACTACAACTTTGCCGAAGACACCATGTTGTTATCGTTTATCAGTTCCGCTGTAACCGTGAAAACCGCGGAGGCCAAACGGTATGTCAACATACTTTCTTTTAACGCAGATAGCAGGGATCGAAAACGGTTTGACGTTTCTCATACAAACAGATTTCGGAACGGTTTCACTGCTTTGCTCTCTGTTCATCGGAGCAAACCGTTTCAAGCGAAACGTTCTGAGAATGGTTTGTATGGGCAACGTTCAAGCGGGTTGTCACTGTGTTAGTGTCGTATACACGTAAGCATAAACGTTTCTGTTTGCCATACAAACCATTTTTCAGAACGTTCCAAATGGTTTGGTTTATTTACACACTCAAAACAAATATTCGGTTTGGTTTGGTTTCGATCCCTGGCAGATAGAATCAACAGAAAACATACTTTCCTTTTCAAAAATATAAATCGAGAAAAAAAAACATATATTCTTTCACGTCTTTACGAATAGAACTGACAACATGGAAGGGTTGGACCATATTGTTTATTATTTTGGAAGTTTGGATTATTAAACAAAATAAAGTTCACCTGGTAGAACCTGGTTGTTAACGGTAAGTAAATATGGCCAATGTTTTCTTTAATTCTATGGGTGAGATTGAGAGTGGAGTATGTTTTTTCTTCGATTTATATTTTTGAAAAGGCGAGCATGTTTTCTGATGATTCTGTTGGCGCTGAAGTAGAGTATGTTGTAGTACCGTCTAGCCTCCGTGGTTTTCACGGTTTTCGCGCAACTGATAAGAGATAACAACATGGTGTCTTCGGCAAAGTTGTAGTACTTGAAGTCCTCTATAACTAAGCTGAAGACAGTTATCTATAATCTCTTATCTCTTATTTCTTATCAGATTCGCGCAAGTCGCGCATTTTAATATAGAAGCAAAATTTATATAGAAGTTTTTTTTTCTTATCATTTCTCGCGCTTTTCGCGGAACTGATAAGAGATAAGAGATAACTGTCTTTAGCTAAGTTATAGAAGACCTCGAGTACTAATACTCTGTTGAAGAGATTAAGTTGTTATCTTTTATCAGTTCCACGAAAACCGCGAAAAACCGTGACGATCCGCCAAAAATGAACATATTCGCCTTTAATCATTTTTAAGTCGAAAGAAACTTACTCTTCTCTTTCATAACAAAGTCAGTAAAACATACACTACTCTCAATCTCACCTATAGAATTGGAAGTTACCTTTAAATGGTCAGTTGTAAAAACTTCGATGTTTTCAGGAAATTTCATACGGACAGGAAGTTCCTCAAGTGGTTCATACATTATTTCAACAATATCTGGCAATGAAACTGATTCCAATATTCTGATTTGAGCATATAAAATGCGAATTATTTCGGTGATTGATTTTAAGTAAATTTGACTACGATCATGTAACCTATTCCGATACAAACATATGAAAATTAACGCAAATAAATTTTAATGTAGATGTAATTTTTTTACCTCGAACTTAAGTTTTGTGATTCACGACAAAAGGTGATAATTCTACGAATGGTCTCATCGCTTTTGTCGATAACTGTTATAGTTTCATTTAACCGATGAAGAGAAATTTTGTTTTTCAAAGCAACAATCATATTTATAGCAATCCAAAATCCGTAGGTAGTAGCTGCGATTGAAAATAGATAACGCAATCTATAAAAAATTTAAATTTTGAGTAAACAAAGTAGCTAATTAAGGAAAAAGAAAACATAAAGATACCTGGGCATATTCAGTTTTAAGGAAACTGCTACCATTGAGGACAATATAAGTTCTCCAAAAAAGAAATATCTGAGTGTCTCATTTTTGGGAGATTCAAACTTTGTTGATGGTATTGCATAACATTGTTCAATAATTTCTATATGATCAACTAGCATTCGTTTTGATAGCAATATACGTCGCTGCACTGAATCTACAACATGCTGGAATAATCATTTCATTTTATAAAAGAATTTATTTGTCTGAATAACATTGCATCTTACTGAATGCCGTATTTTCGGAATTCTTGGAAGAAACCGTTCGTTTATTATATGTTTCAATAATTCCATTACTGCGAAGCTCTATTTAATGATCTAATATTAATTTTATTTGAACTCGCTGATATTAAATTTAATTTTTACGAACTAAATTAAGAAATGAAATCTATTTAAAGTAACTAAAGTGAATCTACGCTGATTTTATAGATTAATCTAGAACATAACATAGTAATAAAAATGTCATCGTTAAATATGATAGGTGGCGCTACTTGAACTTGATTGAACATTTACTCAGATGATTTTGACAAGACTGCTATGCAATGGTGCATATCGTATTTGTAAGTATACATTTCACTGAAGCAAATAATTTTCAACAATTTTTTTTGTATTTAATTTTTTCAATGATCCTATCAGTTGAATTGTTGAAAACTGTGTACAATGAACGTTTTATCCGATTTTGAGAGCTCTGATTCAGAAAAAATTCGGTATAAAACCGAATCAACAAGATATAAGAAGAAGAAGAAGAAGAAGAAGAACAAGAACAAGAACAAGAAGAACGAGAAGGAGCAGCAGCATCAGCAGCCAGATGTAAGAAATCGCAACGAAAAAGATTTGGTTGATTCAAATTCGTCCTGCTATTCCAAAAGTGAAATTCGAAACAAAGACAAAGAAGACAAGCATGCAAATCGATATGCGTATCATACCAGTTCATTTAGAAGTGACTGCCATGACAAACAAGTAGGGAGCAGTTCTTCACACGAGAAATCACGTTCCAGGGATATTGATGACAAGAAAGATTACGGTGAAAAGAATAAAAAATACAGAAAAGAAAAATTGAGAGCTAACGATGATTGTTCAAGTAATGAAGTTAATTTTGAGGGTCTACGAAATGAAGAAACACAATTCAACATGAACAGTCAGCATATGCAATCAGATACCAACGAAAGTTTAATTTGTGGTTTGTGTTTTGTTAAATTTAATCTTTACCTCTATGAGGTGTTTTTAATATCAGCAAAATGAAAAAAGGCTTTTTAATATACATGTAGAACAACACATTCTGCGTGAAATAATGGCACTATAGTGAATATAGTGCACTAGCACAATGCATTGATTGCTATCCACACTTTCCAAAGCTTAATATCATCATAGAATCGTGCGAATATATTCCTATTTAGATTAGACAGACATTTATTTAATGATACCAATTGATTTGCTCTTTATATAAAAATTGGCACTTTTACTAAAAATACTTTTCATTTTGACAGGTCCTTCTTTACCTCCACACATGCAAAAAATAAAAGATGATATTGATTCTGTCCATAACTTAACACAGATATCGACAAATAGAATATATGGTCCAACATTGTACTCTACTGACATGGCAAATAATGAAAATTCACCATTGTTAGGTGATAAAAACAACAGACCAAACAGTGAGGATGAAAATATTATAGGTCCAATTCTAGAACATACTTCGAATCAAAATGAGACGTATTTAAAATTGGAGAAACGCGCTCTAGAATTAAAGTTAGCTAAACTAAATGAAAATGAAAGAAAAAGTGTACATCAGGAACGTGAAGAATGGATGTTGTCACTGCCGGAACTCCGTACCGTATCCGATTTGGGGGTAACCGCCAGACAATTCAAAACAAAAGTAGATGATGAAATCAAAGACCGTAGCCTTTGGACCGAAACACCCCATGATCGAGAGGATAAAGTAAAGAAACGGAACCCACCACATGACAAAATAAATAGTGAAAAAATCGAGAAAATGAAGCGTGAACGCAGAGATGCAGAACAGGAAGACATGGTTCGAAAACATAAGAAAAAACATAAGCGGGATGAATCACTCCTGGAAATGCATCAGAAAAATATGAAAAAGAATTCAGAAAAGAAAAGCGTATCTACAGAACGTCGTCCGTTTTCAAGAGATACAGATCTTAAAACATCTAATCTTTTTGACGATAATATGAAGAAATCAGTTTTGAAAAAAGCCCAATTGCTGAACACACGGTTCAAAAGTGGTCAATCGAAGTTTCTTTAATTTTTTTTTCTGTCTAGAATATTGATTTTTGTCAAGATAATCTCAGTCAATCAAAATTATATCCTGAATAATTATGAATAAACTTTATAGTAATGTGACTTCAATTTGAAAATAGAATTTTTTTCAATAGCTTTTTGACATATTTTTAAAGTTGCTGCGACTGACTTTGCACTATGACTGTGCAAGTGACAAAACCAACAGTAATGATTTAGTAATAATACTTTTGGTTTGATTCGATTTTTTTTTCTTCTTCAAATAATTGAAACACATTGGAATTTTGAAAATAAATGTATAATTCAGGAAAGAAAGATACAAATGAAAAAAATTAAAAGAGCAAACGTAAAAATAAATTTTGATGAATATAAAAAAGTTTGTCGATGTGCCATCATCCACATGGAATAAATAACCAATGGGGGCTTTTTACTTTTTTTACTTTTTTATTATTAATTGAAAATACCAATTTTGGACAAATAATATGTTACGGTTTTGGCTTTTGTAAAAAGATGGATTTTTGGAAATGAGTTCTGACCACCAAATAAAATTAAAGCACATTTACAAAAAAATAATAAATAATAATTAGGTTATGTTGAACTGTTCATCTGCAAAATATAAAGAACTTGAAGTCGTCTTCCTGAAGTCATTTGAATCAATTCAAAAGGCAATAATAATATTTTCAAAATTCGGGATAGAAATGTTATTTAAGAATATTTCATAGTTTCGGCCATGGATAAGTTACAGGAATCGCTGATGGATAGCTGAGATCGTACATCTGGGATTTGATGAATTCTTCTTTATTTGCTGGCTCACGAACGCTTGCCAATCCTAAGTCAAGAAATGGATGGATTTTTTATTTATTTAAATTATAAACATTTCAACGATATTTCGTTTTAATAAATTAACGACGTACCTTTCTCATATGCATAATTCATGACTGCAACAGCGATCGTCACAGAGCAATCACGAATGGTATCCAATGGTGGATACAAACTGCCCACATCTAAATCGGCATCAGTTACTAGGCTAGCCAATCGTTCAGCAGACACAAGAAATATGTCTTCAGGAATGGTCAACGCGCCAGCACAAATCACACCCAATGCGACCCCAGGGAAAATATAGGAATTGTTACCTTGGCCAGGATAATAGGTTTTACCCATATATTCGACTGGTGGAAATGGTGATCCTGATGCAAAAATACATTTTCCCTATTTTTGTTATTTAAAAAAAACGTTATCAAGTATAGATTGATCGAGTAGAGGAGTTCATTACATTTGTATAGGTATATGCATCCTCAGCTGTACATTCGGCTTTGCTAGTTGGATTTGAAAGAGCAAAAATCACGGGTTTGGCATTAAGTTCTGCCATTTTTGCCAATATTTCGGGAGTAAAAGCGCCTGGGATCGCGGCTGCACCAATTAATATAGTGGGCTTAATTTCATCGACTGCTTCAGTCAACGTATCCACAGGTTCATGTTCGTGGGCAAATTGAGCTTTATGTTCGTTAATACCCCCTTTTGGACGACCTTTCACAATCAATCCCTTACTATCAACAAGCCAAACACGTTTAACGGCATCATCTTCACTTAGACCTTCTTTGCGCATCGCCATTACACATAAATTTGCAATTCCGAGTGCAGCTTCACCAGCACCTTGGAATAGTATTGTATTTTCCTTTAATTTAGTACCAGTTGCTTTCAATGATGATAGAACACCCGCTAATGCCACTGAAGCCGTGCCCTATAAAACGCCAAAGAACAATTCTTAGTTATTGAAATATTAATAAAACTAATAACTACAGCATTACCTGGATATCATCATTGAATGTACAGTAGCTGCCTCTGTACTTATTCAATAGGGAAAATGCGTTGGCGTTGCCGAAGTCTTCGAATTGGATTAGGCAATTTTGACCGAAACGCCTCACAACTGCTTGCATGAATTCTTCCACAAAATCTTCGTATTCTTGACCAGTTACTCGTCTTTGACGCAGACCAATATACAGTGGATCATCTAAAATGCTTTGTGTGTTGGTTCCAACATCCAAAGTGATTGGCAAGCATTGATGGGGCTTTATTCCAGCCAAAGCAGTATATAAGGATAATTTTCCCACTGGAATTCCCATTCCATTGACTCCCAAATCACCTAATCCCAAAATGCGCTCTCCATCGGTTACAACAATCGCACGAACATCGGTTTCAGGCCAATTTTTCAAGATGTCATATACATGACCCTTGTCGTGGATTGTTATAAATAGACCTTTTGGGTATTGATAGATCAAACTATATTTTTGGCAAGCGAGACCGACTGTTGGTGTATAAACTAGTGGCATCATTCGACCGATATCCGATGCTAACACACGAAAGAATAAACGTTCATTGCGATCCTACAAATGTCCAAGAAACCATTATTAACTAAATTACTCCATTTCCGGGCATATTTAAAAAAAGAATTGGCGGATGTTTTGACTGTAGTTTCAACAATTGTTACTATAGAAATATCACAAATTCGACAATGCAAGCGACTTTGATCTTGTTATGAACCTATGTTAAATGAATCAATTTGTTATATTTTTTTATTGATAAAATGTCGATCAATTGTTAATAATTTATTCAATGAAAATTCTAATCAACACCGCAACCAATAAATGCAAAAAATTTAACTTACGTAGAGACCCATGAGATAGATGAATTTATCCAAGTCATTTTCATAACGATCTAGCAAAAGAACACAGTGTTTAACTTGTTCCTCTTCACTTTTCACTACAGCTGGCAAAAATCCATGGACTCCGAGCAATTGTCGTTCTTCCCGCGTAAAAGCCAAGCCCTAGAAATTTGTAATATGTGTTTATACCAAATTTCAATTATTCCAATGAATACTTTTTCTGATTCATCATTAAATTCAATGACTTGCTATACGGAGGTGGAGGTTGAATTATTTTTTATAATGTACCTATTTATGCGAATGTTCAATATAAGAAGAAATCAAAAGAAATATATAAAACGAGTAACAACATACGTGAAAACACTAAAACATCGAAATTCAATATTTTACATTTATTGACAGGTGGCTGTGTTTTCAATCTGATTTAAATTCAATGAAATATTAATAGTGTTTGAAATAATGTACACGTTAAGCGCGCATTTAAGCGCAAATTATTCGCATTTTTCGAATTTACACACTGTCACGATCTTGTTAATCTAGTGCTATTACTGAATGAATGTTTTTTTCTTCAAATGTACTGGAAAATTATTCAATGAGAATGATATTTTTGCCTGTATCAATTAAAAATCGCAAAGAAGACACAATCTTAATCATGTACTTTATAATGGCTCTTTATCTACGTTGTACAATGAAGTTGAATAGGATTTTGATAATGAACTTGAGCAACTCTATGATACGTGATCAACACGTGTACAATATTCACTTGTGTTTTTACGTGAAATGAATGTCAACAGTTAGAAAGCATTTTATTTTTTTCATGGAACCATTTGGCATTATTCTTGAATTACTCTTTCTGCAAAATAAATTGAGACAAGGTAATACAATCAAATTCAATTCAATTATTTATTCTGGCCAGCAGTACCCAGTTCAAAAAGCTTTTGACATTTGTACCATGCACGTTGTTCAAATGTTTGAAAGATCACACAGAAATACCAATGACATTGTGATCACTTTTACTTGATTTTGAGCTTCATTTAGCGTTAAAAATATGATAAATGATTGAATAACACGTGTCACCATAATAATTTTTCTTGCTAATAAATCTTAAATACTATTTGATGAAATTACATCACTACCAATTATGATTGATAGACGAGGTAAAATAACAAATTTAGAATATGATATTCATAAAAATTTTGAAAGTAAGGTAGCAAACATGAGGAAACTATGGTATTCTGTATAGTTATTCTGTATTCTTTTGATTTTATCAATTCAAACCTTACATTTTGTTTAGACTTCGACGTGTATGTATGTAATATAGAATTGCACAAACTAAAACAACAGGCCCGTTGATTTTAAATACCAATCAGTGCTGCCATGTTTACGTTTAAATGGTGACAATGTAGACACCTATAGCCAAATACATACTTACAAAATCTAACTAAAATTTCCAATCTAAATTGATTATTTAAATTGCTAATTATGTAACAATCAATTAGATTTTAATTAGCAATATTTGTCTGACATATTTCGTTACCGAAAATTATAAATAATTTACAAGCCCACCAGAATTAATCGATTTCTAACAATCAACCACATCTACACTACGATCAATATGATTACATCACGAAAAAGTTCATATACATTTTTAATGAGCTTAATTATTGCTTAATAATCACTTGAATTTATTGTGGTCAATACATGCCCATAACACATACATCTTCGTTTCGGGCATCAAAGTTAGATATTCTTGAGAAAATGTGATATGTTAGATACATAATTATTTATTGACCCAAATCTCAATGGAAATTCAAAGGTCTGAATTGTAATGTTTATAATGCATAAAAGACTCAAAATATTTTTCGGAAAATCCGCATAAAATTGTGCTCAATACACAAGAAAACACATATTCAAGAATATTCGTAAACTATTCTTTTTATCCTTTGGGTGGAAACCGCATCAAATTACATGCTTTCTGCGGTTTCCAAAAAGATGCATATCTTTGGTTGACCTTATTTTGAAATACAACCAACATAATTATAACTATGATCCATTTTATTACTTTCAAACGTTTTCGTATGACATACAATGTATGTTCTAAAAAAAATTCCACATTTAATCTACTGTTTATATGATGATCTGGTGGCAACAACATACTCAAAACCTATAAATATGATGGTGAATAATGACATTTAACTTTCGAATGAAAATAATCCGAATAGTTCTGGTTTGTTTTGGACTGAATGTACTTCCGTTGCCATATGGCAATTTTTAACTACCGACATGTTTTCTGATGATTATTTGATCAAAGTAATCCGGGTAAAATGGGATAATGAAAATACGTAATATATGAAAGAAAAATATTGTAGAATAGAACATTTGTGCATTCGCTTTTATGGCAAGAACAGAATAAAATCTATTTCAGTTCTCTGTGAAAGGTCAATAGTTCGTTGGACTTCTATTTTGACACTGAAACGTCATTGAAGACAATGGTTCTACTAAAATAATATGCACCAACCAACGAACAAACGATATTCAATTACTCGTATAAATCGTCCATATAATTTCAACACTTTTGTTTCAAATAGTGGAAATTATTAGAGTATATCCAATTTCATTTTCTATTAAGGTTATGTAGGAATGTTATTGTAAAAACTCAATTCAATTTTTGAAAAATGTTCAAATATGAATAAATTTCGTTTTAAACTGTTGTGATGACAGAAAAAATACGATTTAAAATTGCGTTTATCTTTCTTTTCATACCTTGTTGTAACGGGAAAAACGTAAACGATTCAGGCCGCTGATAGCTGATGCCACTTCTGAATCATTCCCCCAAAGTCCCAATCGATCACGGCAGTTGTGGTCAGAACTCATATTTCTCACGTCTGAATCAGCTGATTTCTCAAAACTCGTATTAACTGAATTATACTTGCTACAGTTGATGCGGCAGTAGTTGTTTACGTAGTTACTCTCACCAAATTCGGTTGCTGTTCCTTTCGACAGAGCGTACTCAACTGTGTCGAACGTATTTATGCGCTTGCTATTTGATTGCTTTGTCGAATGATGTGAATGTGGTTGTCGGTGCGCATGTGTACTGCATTCGTTGTGGCTTTGTGTATGATTGTATTGAATCCAAATATATATAAAAAATGCTAATACTGGGAATACTATCTATGTGCGTAAAACCACAGGCCGATAATGTTCAAATACGTTGACGTCTTTTTATAATAATTGTATAGGTTTAACACTACAATTGATGATAATTTGCTCTTGAATGCAACAAATGTCATAGCCATAGATTCTGAAGCCATTGGGGGCATTGAAAATTTCACTTTTCACCAAACATTTCCAGGAAAAAAATTGAATGCAGTGAAGCGAAAGGGTACACAATATCAATATATTCAAATTTGTCTATAAGTAAAGGGATATAAATTCTGAACAAAAATAAAAAGGAAAAATAGGTTTGAACCTACGTTTTTTCGAAATTCATATTTATGAGCGTTTGAATATGTTTGGATTTAAACTCAAATACTACGACTTCATTTAAAGTTGACTTATATGTTCAAATGAGACAACGATATTTAACAGGCTTTTATATTTTTTTTATAGCCTATTTTGTTTGGTAAAGCAGGTTTCTCCGGTAACCATTATATTGATCGATCGATCTATCTATCCATCTATCTATCTGTGTTTTCATTAGAAACATGCGTATTTCATTTTGAAAGTCTCTGATTTATATAACCATACCTTTGGGTGGATTGTTTTGTTACCATAATAAAATAAAAGTAATAGACATAGTTTATTTTCATTATGTTGTCCAACATTATCGTTAATTATCGCTCACTGTTCGTTGTTTGATTTAATTAATTTCGCATGCGTTCATATTGAAATCGGATTATTTAGAAGATTTTAAATCGAAATTGCGAATGGTATCAGTGTTAAACTTTGCTATTGATCAAAGATTATTATTTTTTTATTTATATTTAAAAAGTTTTTGGTATATATTATTGATATACGTGAACAATAAATGCCACGATCATTTCGGATACTGATCTGACCTTCTGGAATGATGGAATACTTTATATGAATTTCAAATTGAAATTTTCAATGTCAAAAGTATAAAAATCTAGAGTACATGTGTCACATGATGTAGAAGTGTTCAGTAATCGGTGAAAGTAATGATGCAAAAAAATTCAAACAAGATACATTTCAATTTGATATTCTAGAGATTATACTCACCCACAATTATTGTCACAATGTTTCGTAGCTTGGTTGTCAGAGCAAACGATATTTCCCATTGTTTGAATATTACTATTTTTTCGATTCTGTGAAATTTTAAATTATAATTGCCACTAAACGATAATAATAATATCGAGCAGAATAAGACATTTCGATTCCACAAAACATACTAACTCGAAGTGTACTCTTATTACCATCTTCGAATTTTTATGGATAGAAAGAAAAGTTAAGTTCATCCAAACTTCATGGGAATGTTCCACCATACGGAATGTGTTAGTAGGAATCGAAATATTTTTGCTCTGATATCAAACACAATTATATTACATTTTGGGATAGGTATTCTTGAATATGTGACTATTCAGCTTTTTTTACATAAATGTATTAATAACACGCACATTTATAAGAAAATTTCCGTTGAAGAAATTTCAGGTCAGAGAAAGACCTAGCTTTGCGATTAAATGACACGTGAAGAGTTTTGCATGACAACTTTTCGCCTGTTCACTAAACTGTTAATCAAAGTATTAAGTAACTTTATTTCACACTCTCTACGTTTCAAAGTCAAAGTAACAAAATCGAAAGGTAGTGTGTCTATATGAGTAAAGACTGAAATCTGAAAGTCAGTTTGATATAGTAAATTGCCTACTACTGCGTGCATAATGCAAATTGTCAATGAAACAAATAGAACCCAGTCGATCGAATATGATATAACGACGATTCCGCTCCAACTTCAACAATTATTTAATATTTTTCAATAGGTTCCTCCAAATAAATGAATGTTTGAGCGGTAAAATACAGTGTTTGGTCAAAGATAATTATCTAGATAAGTAAAGGTGTCCACGAACCGAAAATGTTAGTATTTTCGTTCGTTCGTTCGTAGAATTTAAATTTTGCGTAGTTCGTAGAAAATTATTTGTTTGTTCGTTCGTTTGTTCGCTTGTTTGCAAAAGATATTAAAGAAGTGCAAAAAAGCATGAAAAACGCTATTCAATGGTTTTTCAGTTTTAAAAGCCTACAAATAATTGAGTTAATAAAAGAAAATGAGTTTTTACGTGGAGAAATTGTATTTGGAATTGTTTATCCGGTGTTTAGAACTTTGAATTTATCAATATGCGATATTGAAAATATGCGCTTCAGGCATTTTGATAAATTCAGAGTTCTAAACATCGGATAAACAATTCCAAATACAATTTTTCCATGTGAATACTCATTTTCTTTTAACTCAATTATTTTTAGACTTTTAAAACTGAAAAACGATTCAATAACGTTTTTCACGCTAGTTTGCATGAAAATTATACTTCTTCAATATCTTTTGCGAACAAGCGAACGAACGATCGAACAAAAGTGGAAACTAATTTTTTTCCGAACAGTGTTCGTTCGTTCGCAGAACAAAAATAGATTCTGCGAACGAACTAACGACGTGGACAGATCTATAGATAAGATAAAAGATAATATCTTTTATCAAGATAAATTAATTTCAGAAATTCGATAAAATATTTGTATTTTCCTATTTTGTATTTGTATTTTACTTGCCAAAAAACTGGCTGAATATTTAGTTTTGCAGGAAAATGACTCCAAGAGTCATGAAAAACCTGATCAAAGATTTGAAGATTTTTGTACAATATAGGGTACACCCCTATAGTCTCAGTCATTAAACGTCCAACCAACAACGAAATAAAATTGTGCAAATATGCCTATGGCATACAAGACAACAAAATTGCCTTCTTTCGGTGGGTCAAACTCGAATTAGAAGATAAATGTTTTGTTTTTCGTTTTCAATTGGACAATTGAACAAGTGCGTTCGTAAAGTGAGCGCATTCACGTCTGTGCTCAGGTTTTGAACGAATTTCATTCTGTAAATGATGTTGTTAGTGTAATACTACCCCCGCGATCAACTTTGCAATTTCCCACTACATTGTTTACCGCCTCTACTGGCCTTTCATTTATGTATTCATATCAGATGAAAAACCTCTAGACGAGGTTAAAATGGAGTGACGCTCCTGTGCGTGGATTCACCACTCAAAAAGACTGATATCATTTTGAGTGACGCTAGGACGCTGTATTATCTCTGGATACGAAGTTCAAAAGTATTTTTCGCATTCACCAGTGTTTGGACAAAGAATTATCTAGATAAGATAAAATAAGATAAGATAAGATTATATCTTTTATCTTATCTAGATTAATTTCAGAAAGTCGTCAAAATATCTTATCTTTATCTTATTTTTTACACGTTATCTTATCTTTTTTGAAGATAAATTAGTCAATAAAAAATTTCAAAGGGAGAGAAAAAATTGCCATTGGATAAAGAACGAAAGAAAAATTGCAAGAAGAAACGTTCAGAAATTGTAAAAAATATCAAAAAATCAAATTTATTTCGTGCATTTTGAGAATAAACAACGCAAAAAATATCGAAAGAAATATTTTTTGAGATTTTTACGCAATTTTTTCGGTTTTTTCTTTAGAAAAAACAACCAAGAATTATCTCATTTTTTATCTGAAGATAATTGAAGATAATCTTATCTTTTTTATAAAAGATAAGATAAGATCTTATCTTTATCTAGATTAAAACACAAAAATTAGGTCTTATCTGGTTTTTATCTAGATAAAATTCATCTATCTAAATTAAACACTGGCATTCACTATTGTGGAAATTTATCCACGGCAAAAAAATTGAAAACTTGATTTGAAAACTAAAATCAAAAGTCGTGACGCGATATTTTTCCTTTCATCAAAAGTTTAATGCTCTTCACGATAAAGAAATAAAATCCGCCAGATAATTACGAATTCACGGAGATATTTTGAGGCAAACATGAAAAATGTAGCTAAAATTAATAATGTTTTCACAATTTTCAGTTCCATAACTTTTAGACCACTGAATCGATTTCAATTTTCTATGGCACATTCAAAAGCTAGAGTCTTTTAGTTTCCAGAGCCATTCTTACTTTGGTGCTACCCCACTCAAAAACAATTTTACAGATAATAATATGAAACCGTGTTAGCTTTTATCATAACATTTGCATGCATTAAATGCAAAAAATTGCATCTTCTGATAAAGATTACTGCTTCTTTGATCGTCCAGTAGCTTTGAAATCCTTGCTCTGAATATGCTTGCTTTCGGTGTTGTCGCCCCTTCCGCCTTATTCTAAGCTACGGCATCACGTTTTGCTTTCTCTTCCCTTAATTCCGCAAGTCTTTCAGGTGATTTAAGAATCGAACTTTTGATAGAGGAAGGTCAATGATGTTTTGATGGACGGTGTTGCTGGTCTCTATGGATCAAATCCCTTGGATTAATTAATTATGTTCCGAACATATGGAAAATTACCAGAAAAATATCAAAAATGATCAGAAGAATATTCAAAATGATCAGAAACTTTTTTTATTAATTTGATCAGAAAAAAACCTAATATTATCAGAAAAATTTGGATATTAGCCGAAAAATATTTAAAATGATCAGAAATCTTTTTTCAAAATTTATCAGAAAAAAAAGTACAATGATCAGAAGTATATTTAAAATTATCAGAAACCCTTTTCGTAACTTGATCAGAAAAATATAGAATTTATCAGAAACATATCGAAAATTAACAGAGAATTTTTCGAAATATGATCAGAAAGAAATATATTTTTATCATAAAAATATCCGAAAATGACCAGAATAAATTCGCATTTTGACCAGAAAACTTAATAGTTTTACCATGAGTTACATTACCTATTTTTGTGCTGTTCTTACCTTTTGGCTCTTTATTTTATTTGTACAAATGTACAATCTGATATGAACACATGGTTCATAAAATCATTTGTCGTCAATTAAACATAAAAGAAAAAATTAAAAGTGGACAAAAATCTCAAACAGGAGATTTTTATGAACAAATAGTCAGAATAAGGGGTCATACGAAAGTGCCGACGGACACGGACGGACGGACACTTTTTAATTTTTTTAAGAGTTATTTGGAACGGACGGACACCGGAAAAAAAAATTTCTTGTCCGCTCAGAGAAAATTTAGCGGAACAATGATTCCGATTTATCGGCATTAAAACCAATCGGAATGATAAATCAGAATAAGTGTTCCGAGATTCCGATTTATCAGAATTCTTCAATGTAAATTACTTATTAAAAAATTTTGGTTGGAAAATTTTCGGAAAAGCGCTACTGTGGAAAATCGGGAAATCGGTATATTTTTCTGGAGAATATCCATTTTTTTCTGATCCGTTTATGAAACGATTTCGGATATTTTTAAATATAGTTCTGTTCATTGTAGTTTTTTTTCTGATCAATTTTGAAAAAAGATTTCTGATCATTTTAGATATTTATCGGCTTATTTCCAAATTTTTCTGATCATATTAGGTTTTTTTCTGATCAAACTAATAAAAAAAGTTTCTGATCATTTTGAATATTTTTCGGATACTTTGCAAATTTTTCGGATCAAATTTGTAAAAAAAGTTTCTGATCATTTTAAATATTTTTCGGATCATTTTCGAAATTTGAGGATCAAAATTAAATGAGCCAAATCCCTTTGGGATACTTTTTAATATCTTAAAATATGATATTTTATCACCAAAATAACTTTTCAGTCCAATAGAGAAAAAAATGTTGGGTGGTCCATCTTGGACGGTAGGCTTAGTGTTGGCTTCGAACGTTCGTCCTAAAACACAAATTTAAAAAAAAATTGCATGTTCGTTCGTTCGTTTGGAAATTATGGCTTGTTCGACCGTTCGTTTGTTTTAACATTTCAAATACATAGGAAGCAAATTGAATTTCGATTTCTTTGGGTAAGACTGAAGGTACAACATGTTTTACTATAATAATTATTACCGATCTTATTACTGAGTAATAAGTAATTACTGAAATAATAATTATTACCCATAAGTTAATCTTCATACTTAAGGTGGCTTAAGTACGTACTTAAGTCTCTTACTCAAGCGTAAGTATGCTAAGTGTGTACTTAAGGTACCTTATGAAGCTTAACTTATGGGTAATAATTATTATTTTAGTAATTACTTAGAAATAAGATCGGTAATATATATTACAGTAAAACATGTTGTACCTTCAGTCTTACCCAAATAAATCGAAATTCAATTTACTTCCTATGTATTTTAAATGTAAAAAAATGGTTGATAGGAAAGTTCTTGACCAAAATGGGAAATTGTCTGACCAAAATGGGAAAATGTTTGACCAAAAACCGGAAAATGTTTGACCAAAATGGGAAAATGTTTGACGAAAATCGGAAAATGCTTGACCAAAGTGGTGGGAAATTGTCTAACCGAAATGGGAAAATGTTTGACCAACCAAAAATAACTGGAATTTTTCATTCGCATATTGCGAAATGGTCTATATTGCATTCAAAATTTTAGAGATTCTATTATGAGCTGAATCTACTTCGAATTGAATATGTGTAAATCGCTATCTCAGTTTGGTGTTAGAGTAATGACGTGGCATAGTGTGAGGTGTTTTCAAGCAATGCAAAGATAAACGGTTTCGTGGTTCATATCACAATCGAATCCGATGGAGAACGAAAGTTCCCAACGATTCGATGACTGAAAGAAATTTTAGCATGGAAAAAATACGCTGTTCCAACGACCACAGTGAAAAAAATGGTCATTCATTTCATAATACAATTTC